ATTATTTTTATATTATTTATATTATATATTTTTTATATTTAATATTTTTTTTACAGCGCTAATGAATGGTCAGAAATCGACAAAAAATGTGATGGATCAATCACCACAACCTCGAACATCTCAATCATTTTTGATCAATGTTGATGAAATCAAAGGTAGCTAAATTGTTTAATATTTATCTAACTTTGGCAACAATAATTAATAAAACTATTTCCAATAATTTAAGTCAGAGACATCAAAAAAAGTAGTGTTGTTAATAATATAAATTATATAATACTAAGTGAGTACTGTAGGAAGATTATTTGATGAAATATTGGAAATTATTAGACTTGGAATTAAGTGCAGAAAAATTTATTCATTTCTGATATGATATTAAATTCTCACATTAATTATTTTTATATAATAGTATTGTTAATAATATCTTTAAATCTTATTAATCAATTTGATTAATACTCAGCGTCAAAATTAGACAGTTTTACTTATTTCTTTTATTTTCAATCATAAAATCAGAATTACCCGAGGAAACGAAAGTAGAAAAATTGAGTGATTCAGAGGTCAAGCAACAACTTGCATCACTTAATCAGTAAAAATTATTTTATTGTTATATCCGATTTTTTTCAAGTTTCATTTTTTGAAACAGAAATCGAAAATTTTATTTTCTCCAATTAAACATTATAAATGTTGGGAAGTTCATTAATCATCGGTAGACAGATTCAATCAGCTTATTTATTCGAAAATTTATTTGCTTTCGATAGTTTGTTTATTTGTTCATAGCAATCGATGAATGGGAAACAAAAACAATTATTTAGCTGATCATTTGGGAAGTTGTTTGAATTAAAAGTTTAGACATTGATCGTAGTATAATGTTGCAAGTAGTGCAGAATAATATTGGATTATAATTTCATTAAAATGCTTAATAAAAGTTGAACAAACAAATAAAAGCAACGTATAAAAGTTGAACAAACGAATTACGTTAATTTTTTATTCCAACTATTGAAATTGTAATTTTAATAAATTTTCCCTTAATAAATTCTAAACATTATAGACGTTTAAAAACATTAATTGATGAGAATGAAAAGACAAACAAACGTGAAGAAGAACTTTTTGCAATCAAGAATCAAATCATTGCCAAAATTGATGTAATAAATGGTTTATCATTCAGTAAAATTAATTTAATCTTTTTTATCATTTTAGTGATATTAACGATAAATAATTTTAAATGATAAACGATAAAAAAAATGATAAATGATTAAAAAATTGAAATTTAAAAACCCAATTTTTTAACGATTTTAAATGTAATTTAATTATTATCAATATTTCATTAAGGTAGGATTATTTGTTAAGGTTGTAAAGAAACAAATTAGTGAAGCTATGGATCATTATCGTGATATAGCACATTCTTGCCATGAGAAAATTGAAAAGGAAGAAATTCGTCAAAATGAAGTGAGTATTTATCAAAAAAAAATTTTAAGCAAAAAGTTTGTGTATTTTCAATTTTTGAAGAAATATGCAAATATTAACAAAATCGTATATTAATTTATTGAATATTAGCAGTATATATTAACTAAATTTTCTTTCATAGAATTTTTAATTACGAAAAAAATAATTAAAGGAATGAGAGAAATCATTTTATCAATTTTTACTGAAATTTGATGGTATCCGAAATGTTGTACTTCTGAGAATCGAAATTAACAGTATAATTGATATATTGTGTAAGCTTATAAGCAAGAATTGATAGGATAATAATTTCGAAATAACAAATTTCTATTTTTGACCTATGAACTATTAAATTTACTTATACAATTTTTTGCATTTATTGTATAGATGTTAAAAAAAAGATAAATAGTATTATGTAACAATGAGTAATATATTAAATTGCAACAATTAGTAATAATTAATAAAGTAAGTGCGATAAATAATTAATCGAAAATTGTCGCATAAAATAATCAAATTATAGATGCTAATGGATCTAAAAGAAAGAGTTGATAAGCTTGATGATATGTGTAAAGATATTAATAATCAAGTTGACGATATGACAGCAACGTTAAATACGGCATATAATGTTGGTGAAAGTAATGCATTATATACGATTACTGCTCGTTCTGTTGATTTTATCATACGTTTTGTTAAACAAATATATGCTACAATCATTTCAATTACAAAGGTAAGTATATCTATTAAAAATTTTCAATTAAAATATATTATTAAATATCACTTGATTATTTTATATATCTTTTAAATTTCATTGTTTTTATTCAAATTTACGATAATTTGGATTACTCCTTTTTTCTTAATCATTCTGTTATAAAATATTATATTTAAGTTTCTAACCATTTTCAATTCTTTTAATTTCTTATCTTTAATTAACTATAATACTTTCAGACATTTATTTGTTCATTATAATTTAAAATCTTTACCTGTTCAAATTTTATTTATCTTTATAAGTAAGATTAAAAATTTTAAAACTAATCAATATCTAATATTATTCAATGAATGTATTTTTTAATAGATAAATAATGCAATTTAGGAATTGAAAGATATTTAGGTTAGAAATTTTTAACAAAAATTTTAGTTTTAAAAGGAACCATAATTTTTCGACAAATTTATTTACTTTATTTCAATCTCACTTTTGCCCATTCAAGAATTTTATTATAGCATAAGAAGAAATTAGAAAAAATTTCAGTATTCTACAAAAGCATTACTGGCAGTATCAAATTCAGTATTACCAAATGCTATCAATAAAGAAAAGAAAATTGATACGCTTATATCAACATCGCTATAAATTAATTAATGCTTGAAAAATAAAGAAAAAAAATGGTTGTATGCTGTTTTTCAACAATAAGTAATGTTGACATTGTTGAAAAATAATATGACGGGGAGGAGGAGGGCTTAATGATATTTATTGTTTTATTTTTATTTGAAAAATTTTTGTTCTTAATTCTCTGAATTTGATAACTGACATCATTTCCTATATCCTCTTCGTTACATAGAAAGTGTCATGTAATGTGATAAAAGTTCCACTGAATAACGAATGTAGCAAGCTTGGTGTTTTCCAATGCGACTTATCAGAGTTGCTAAAAAATCGAATGCATCTTTAATGAAAGTTAGATAAAGTAGATAGCAGCGATCGTATATAACCTTAAATCTTTCTGAAAAAGAAAAACTATCCATCAACTATAAAATTCACTTATCAGTTAGACTGTCCATATATGATTAATCTCTAGAGAATTTTTCGTTACAAAAACTAGGCTAATAATACCATATGGTAATTACAAATTAACATTCTCAAAACTCCATGCAAGGCAATTTTCGGAATTAAAGATGGATTTTAATGTTAGTTTTGTCACATAGAAAGGAAGAGTAAATACTTTGAAATTATAGCTTGCTTATTTGAAATCGTAATCGGCCAGAGAGTTAACAGAAACAAATATGTTTCTGAGTGCCGATCCTTAGTGCGGTGGAGAAAATGTATGCAGTTGTAAAATGCTGCACAGAATTTGAAACGATTCATTCAGAAACAGCGCTATTGGGCAACCGATGATTCTCATATATCGACAGTAAGCTACGCAGTCATCGTCCATAAAAATTCTAATATTTGCGACAATTTTACAGCAGAAAATTATTAGAATTCAAAAAAAGAAGTTCGAATACTTCCGAAACCTTTCAATTCAAGCAATGCTCTTGCAAGAAGTTTTTGAAATTTTTCCAATAATTTTCCGTCCCTCAGCTCATATATAATGAAGAGTCAAAAAGGGGGAAATTCCATATATCCTTTTCATCTTCGGATCGGTTAACCAATTTCAATCATCTGTTTGAGTTAATAGACAAGTCTTTATGCGCTAAGTTCCAAATAAAGGGATGATAAATCATTCATCCAAAGAATTGAACTTCATAAAATTTACCGCGACGATAGCAGGTAACTATTTCACCACTCAAATAAAATATTTGACATCACTTTATCTCCAGACAGTAAGCTAACATTTCTATAAATGATTAATGCAATAGGTTAGGTATATATATACATTCTGCTCTTCGAATGATTAAAACAATTTTATTTTACAACGATAGAAAAACGATAGCAAAAATTTAATATTTTTGAAGGAATAGCTGAGAATTTTTATGCCTTGCTGGCCAAGAACGAAGAATTTGTTTTGTTGTCAAATTTTTCTTCATTTTTGGACTTTATATTCCGTACAAACTGTTCATTTCATTCATAACGGGTATATAATAATTCATCAAAGGAAGGTAATCACAGCGAAATAATGAAAAATCATTGAACATGTACAAAAACAAAACAACGTGGCATATCCCTTTAAAAAAAAACACTAAAAAATTGGACTATCATCCTCCAGATTCATTTCTACATCGCTTTGCTCCTGAAAAATAACGTTTTCATCATCAAAATTTAATAATCCAATAATTTTCAGTCAGAAACACTGAAAAATGTTCTGAAAAAGTATTGAAAAAATAAAAGTTTGAGAAGAAATTAATGGTACTTAAATTTACTCTAATTCTGCACTAAATACATCAACTGAGAAATTTGACCTCTTCAAGCTCCATTTCGTCGTTTTCGTCTTCGCCACTTAATGGTCTTTGTTGTGAGTTATCAACAACTTCTATTTCCATTTCTTTTAGTTCCTCACCCTCAAAATTTTAGAAATTGTTCAGTGCTCATTACAAGAACAAATAAGGATTTGATTTTGAAAAAGAATTAAACGTCATCCTTCCAATTAATTTTCAAGAATCGCATTCGTTCCAGAATTATTAACATAACTGCAAAAATTGAAAGAGCTTCAATAATACGGAGTAGAAAAGCCGCTCGACTTTCATATCTACATATCCGAGTCTTTTATTACTAATTCATGATTATCAGATTACTCGACTATATAAGAAAATATAACTGGTGTCTAAAGAAACACTGTCACTTCAGATAGGAAAAATGAGTAGAAAGGCACATCTAAATTCCTGCTCTTCAACAATCCAATTTGAAATGCGCTATCGCAGTCGATGCCAATCATCAGCTGATGAATTGCTCTGATAAACTGCTCCGATGCGGCCCTTAACATAGGTAGCAATTTCAACAGTGATGCACATTTGGTACTCTAAAAAGAATGAGTCGTAAAGAGATTATTTCAATTTAGTTATAAAGGGACAAAAATTGCCGATATGACTACTTTATTAGAAAGTAAGAAAACAAATATCCTCTAAAGGGATCCAAGTTCAGATTTAAGTTGTTAAAATTATGTAGCGGCTAAATCCATTTGCAATTAATTCATTGAAACGAAGGTTTGGTAGTACCTAAACACTGCTTATCTCAATGGTTATAGGCAATATATTTCAATTAAGTAAGATTCATTTAAGAGGATTACAATAAAGTGTAATAAAAGAATGAAATAACCTTTGCATGAGCACTCATATTCTGTAATGAACGATTACCAATCTGTACTGTCTTCAAAATTGCATTTGCTTCTGCACCATATCTCGCAAACCTTGAAAATGCTGATTACTATTCTGACCTAACAGCCATATTCTATATTTAAGAATTGTAAATTGCAATAAATTTCCTTAATCTACAAAGATAGTTATGCCATTTCATCGAATGACTGGTCTAAAAAAAAGTAATACATTACATATTTTAAATCAAATTGATTAAAAATCAAAGCCAAACCTAGATTCGTCTGATAGCAGATATATGAAGGAACTTCTCACAACAAAACTTTGCAAGAATGAGCGCCCTTCACGTGCAGCAGTTAAAAGCACACTAGCATTTCGCAACTCCTAAATAAAAAGCTAAATGGCGAATTCTCTTGTTTAACAATGCAAAGTTGTTCTGTAATAAATGAAGAACTATGTGACAGATCCAGCGTCAGACAATAAGTCAATAGATAGATTCGATTTAAACTTATAATTTAAAAAAAAGCGAGCCAAAAAAGCTAATATAAAATGTACTTGAGCTCTAATAAATTTAGTTTGATAAGTGAAAGGTAATACCAAAAACCAGTCTGGATTAGATCTTAATTCCCACGATATTTAATAGTTGGAAGACAAAAAAGATACCTTTACACGGATTAGCAGAGTTAATAGGCAGAAACTACTAGCAGCAATCTTCCAAAGTGCAAAGCATTCATCCTGGTGAAGTTTGTTCGTTTCAATCGATTGTAACGACAAAACATTTCTGATAGTTTCATTCAATGAACAGAACAAAACCTTATAAATGGAAGCAAAAGTACCTCTGAAACAAGTAAAAATCACAGCAAATCCGCGAAAACAATAAATCAGTTACTATTAACTACTCAATCAACGCTTGAAGCATTTCAATGGATGAGCAGCGTTCCATTGAGAAATGGCGACATACTTGCTAAAACAGATAAAAAGAGATGCTTCAGTCTCATCCAAATCCTTGTCGTGACAGGGCTCCAAGGATGATATCTTACTTCGACGTCGCTCGTCTTCTGGAATTAATTCAGATACTTTGTTTGCTAGCATCCACTGGATTGCAGAAAGTCGCTCAGTTTGTTCCCGAAATGAAAGATATAACCTACAAATATACTCATTTTTGATTTATTTAGGTTCAGAAAACATATTCACCAGTTTACAATTTTTTGGGGATTATTGAATTTTATTCTAATACTGCGTGTAAGTACATAAGTTAGATAACCAAACCTATCATGCACAATGTTGGAAGATATCAACTGCCCAAATTTGGCCAATGCAATGTTACAAACTAAAGCTGAATTTATCATAAATTTGGCGATATAAAGATTAGTCAGTTGAATACAGTTATTCTTGCAAGCAGTACTATAAATTATAAAGAAAATTTCATCAACCTTAAAATGCTAGCAACCGCTTGATTGAGCAAAGCACCCTTCACCGGTCTTTCCTCTACATCAGACCATTCTCTTTTTAAATATGCAAGTGCTGATTTTGCTGAAAACAGCTATCCATGCTTTATTTAAACAGTTCCGCCAAAAATAATTTTTTTTATAAGGTTAGATTTAAATCGCTCTTTAATTTGTCACTTGGAAGCGGAAATCTTCCATTTCACAAGTCTGTTTAATTACTCAGTACTTACCAACTTTGGATTTCTGTTGTGCGTCGGTGAAATCGCAGGAAAGTAACTGAAGTAAAGAAACAGCACATTCCAGTGTAGGGACAACCTCGGAAATACTTATAAAGTAGCTCGAAATAACATCCTAAAAACAGGCCTAGATGTAGCGAAACAAATAGAACTTTTATTTTTTTTCTCTCCTAGATTAACTATAATTTTAATGAATTTAATTGAACAGAACGAATATAAACCTCTGCGTCATCTACCCCTTGCGTATCTTCAACAACTCCAACATCAATCATCGCTCTTTCCAATCTTTCCATGAGCAATTTTCGACGTTTCATTCTTAAATGATGAGACCTTTGTTCTTCCATTGATTCATCTCTGGATGTTTTCATAAAATCTTGGCTGAAAGAGGCTTCCAATTCCTAACTAGCGATGCAAATAATCTATCTTGAGTGGTACATTTTTCCAAAAACTATTTCATAGATAAAAAGGGTGCATTAGTAAAGATGACGAATAAAAAGCTAAATTTTTGTATTTTCGTTTAAGGTTTTGCCTTATTAACAATTCAAAATAATAAGCCAACAATTTGACACAAAGAAGAAAGAGCTTACGATGAAAATATATTATAAAAAAGGACTAGTGATGAATGCATGAGAGCATTCATATCAGCGTGATAGGAGCGTTTGGTAATATCGAGGACGACAGATGTATCGAGAAGATTTTTGAAATAGTCCACCGCACCATGTAAAATGATGAATAAAGTTGGGATAATAGATTGAATTGAATGCCAAACGATCTTTGGATTACCACTCTCCAAAAACTTTTCCGTAGCAGTTTTTCGGGCCGCCTAAACAGTAAAACACAGAATAGTATCATATCAAAACTTGGACAAATTTAAGGTAAAGTAAAAGAGATTTGGAAACGTGCAGTGGAAAGATCCGTGAATACCAAATAAGGAAGAAACATTAACAGATTGACATTTCCAAGAAACAGTTAGATGTAACTAAAATTAAATTTTAAAAATGAAGTTAAAATTCGTACAATAACATGTGCTGGTAAAAGACAATGCCAACCACTAGCTTGGTTTGGTTGCTAATGATCACTTTAAAAAAATGTTTCGTTATGTATTGACACCACTATTACAACCCAATAAAATTTGTGCAAGGTAAAAAATATTGATAATCAATGATTCAATATTATTATACTGTAGAAATTAGTATTTCTAACCATTAGTAATATTTTTACAATTTAATCAAGATTAAAAAGAAGTTTGATAAATGCCCTGGTGAGAAGCTTAATTTGTAGACGACTTTAGTATTAGAATATAAATAAATACAGCTGCCTACATTTCTGTGAGTTTTACTATTCGAAACGTACCAAAAACAGAGATATTTTCCTGTTTCTTTTAGGTAAAAGTTCTTCCAACAGTTTGCTCAAAGTTTCTAGCAAAAATGTTGTTTGTTTCCTCTTCTTTGGCAACAGCTAAAATACGCCATAATCTGCTAGATGGGCAAAAGATTAGTTTAAACCACCTAAATATACTCATTTCCTGAATTCCATATTTCAAAGTGTGGTTATTTCACATGCAAATTACGTGTGATCAATATAATTTGACTCATGACATGAACAGTTCTGTTGGAAATTTGAGCAAAATATAAATAAATATCAATGCAACAATTGGAAAACATATTCTTACACTTTAAATTCTGTTAGACATATCCACCGAATGAATATGACATTAGAATTTGATAAATTGACAAAATGAATATTAGAGTTTGACAAACAAACTTAAACTTACTTCAATCAAATGAATAACTGTAGCGAAATTGAGTGGCATGAAAAAGGATACCAGCTGAGATTCAACAACTAATCTCTGTCGACCCAAATTTTTAGTTATCGTGTGTCTGAATTGTTCAGTTTCGACAGTTTTCATTTTGCTAACCCTCGTTTGAGTAGTATCTTTTTGTAAATCTTCCCTCTATAATATTATATCAAAATGTTACCCTTATGCTTTCTTTAATAAAATCTTTTATCAGCCTTTTAATCAAAAAATTACAATCAATTAGTGCCACTCATCTCTCTCTAGCCAACGACCCCATGTCGCTTACCGTTGGATTAATGCAATTGGTTCTAATAATGTTTTAGGAAATCTCATGCTTACAGGAGTGGGTATTTAATTTTATACAATTATAACTTTTTAAATCTGTGAGAAAGAGTATCGAACTGTTTCTCAACATAAATGCAATGAAGGAATTCTCTAAACTTACGTTTTCTTTGTCCACTGTTTCACTTGGTTTGCTTTCTTTATCATCTGTATATTTTGTCCCATCTTCACCTTCATAATTTCTCTTTCTATTACTGACTGCATTTTTCCGGCTTTTTATAGACGATGATTTCTTAGGAATATCGTAAAACACTATTAATCCGGTTTGTTCAAAATCCAACACACATGGCATTCTATACTCTCCGATTTCTAAAATAACTTTTAAGCTGGATAGCATTATTTGAAGTAAAACAAGGAAAATGAAAAAACTTGGATTTCGATAAAAAGTGGAGAAACCTACGCCGTTTTTTTAGTTCTATTACTGTTACACTCCCTTAATTTCTGTTGGAAGAAGGTTCGAATCAGTGCTTAATCTACCATGACATGCTTTTGATATATCAATTTACAACATTGTTCCACTGTGTGGAGTATTTTTTTAAATTCTTATTTATGCCTAACCTCTTTCTTCTAACCTCTCTCTCTCAAACATACACAATTAGTTACTTTCTTCACACAATTACTACAATTTATTTCGAATCTACTTTTCCAAATCTACGAATTTACTACTTTTCCGAATCTACGAATCTACTACAATTTATCCCAATTTAACCAACTTTGAATGGTGTACTTCAGGCTTTTCTGACATTCCATCATTAATGCAAATCTTTTGCGTAATATGACATGAACAGCTTCCGCATCCGTCCCATGTATCTTTTCATCGCTTACAAATGTATTTAGCATCTAAAATTTGTTTCGTAGTTGCAAGAAAATTATGGAAAGTGCATGGAATGTGAACCACAAAAGGACTGAAAATCGAGAGTAGCAAACTTTGTACCACTGCGGCTCTCGACTCACAAATTCGGTGCCTATTACGTTTGGCATCTAAGATATAGTACTAAAAAGTTAAACAATAGCGATTTGAGTTTTAAGTAATTAAATTTCGGAATCATTACATATATACAGCTGGTTTTGATAGTGATACTTTAAGTAATGTCTTCGTCATTATTACTATATCGTAGAAGAGGAAGATTTTTCAGTGATTAGGACTTTAAATTGTTGCATTTAAAAAATTCAGCTATTATGACAGAGTTTACAGTTTTATTTTGTATCCGTGGTTGAAAAATCCAAAATATTCATTGTTGTTAGTTTAAACATAGTAATAACGTATGATAATTTATTTGAAGGAAAATTAAGTGATGACTCAAACTCGGACCATCGAATCGAGCAGTCGTTTCTTGAACCATGTTTTGATTAGCTTATCAATTATTTTAATGCATTAGAAAAAAACTAGCCAAACGAATCCACTGAATGCAGAAAAAAAAAATGTCACAATTTGTAATTCTATTCTCGTTATCTTTCGCTTCTAGATCGATTTCAACCATTGAAATATTTGCTTCTGCAATATTATCTTGAACTCTATTCTGTGTAATGATTTCATCCATATTTTTAAAAGAATGGTTGTCAACATGTGCCTTTAAAGAAACAAAAAAGAAAATGAAAATCTGCACTGAAGTGTCTAATTGACTTAGGATAATTTTATTCAAATCAACCTGTAATATTTTTGTATCATCGATAGAAGCGTTGAAAGCAGTTACAATTAGAATTATATGTTGAAGTTATGTATAATTTACCTAATATAAAGCGAAGTTCCATAAGAAAACCATCGCTGTTTTGTTTATTGGCCCATAAATATTTCAACTTGGTGAGCGCTAAAAGAAGTTGAAAATGAGCAATTGGTTCAAAAACCCGATTTGCAGAACCGGATATTTTCGAGGAATATTTCACCAGGTTGCTTAAACAAAACCATTCTTTATGCAGTGAGTTGCTATAGCGTTCATCTTCTAAACGGCTGAAATGTGACATCAGTAAAATTTTCAGCTTCATAAAATTTTAGTTTTAAATTAGAACAGCACGGTATGTAACGGCAAAGTTTGCCGGACAACAAAGATTCTATTTTCTTTCCCATAAAATTGTAACATGTTAAAACAAATGTTAAATAAAGCATATTGTACAAATAACAATGTTAAAGCATGCCTATATCTCTATATTATGTTTTTGTTCTTAATAATTACCATTCTTTAGAATTTCGTTCAAACTGTTTTAAATAATCTCGTCTGAATTCCACAGATAGCCTTTCAGCCCAGACAACCTGAAATGAATAAAACAAATGTATTGACCTAATGGTTAACTTCTACTTTCTGAGTACAAAGAAAAAATTTTGCTGCCGTGATGATATGTAAAAATATAATTAAAATTGAACAAAATAAGTACAAAGTATACTGCAAGTTGGGTAGAATATACTTTGTCTCACATCAAAGTAAAGAAACAATTAACGGAGTGGAGCATATTCAATAAAGTCATGATTTGAATCACTATTTCATAACTTATATAATCAAATTTTATGAATCACGATTGGTATAGCATGACTTGAAGGTCAATTTAATCATGAATGTAGATACAATTATTGACCAAAATAGCGCTGTATTCAACTCCAGTACTGATACTCAGGATCTTTGCAAAATGCTGATAGAAACATGTGCGCAAGTAAGCATTATATTTTGTTCGTTCATCCAGCAATGTTAACTTTTGTTTGAGTACGCTTTCACGATCATCGGCGTTTAATCTGTATGATAACTTCTATTTTAAATAATTAATTTTAAATGGCAAAAACCTTACTTCTGATTTACTGGAATAGCAGAATACAACCGAACACAACACAGTTATGCTTATTACCCTAATGTATTAATCCCAGTAAATATTATCTGGCTTTCAGAGAATTTGCTTTGGTAAAAGCAACATTAATTCCTAAAAAAGTCATCTCAAATTTAGGTTGAAAAGATCATAAGATACCTGTTATTCATTAGATATTGCTGCAGTTGCATTAATACACCAAAGATCCCCCATATTGTTTCTCTTGTCGAGGATGAAGATATCATTTGTTCAATTTCAAAATCCAATCCCTTCTGCTGCATTAAAAAATATTTTATTGTTCCATATTATTAGCAAAGTTTTGGAATCCGAATACATGAATTTTAATTTTGTGAAGACAGCAACCAAAATACAACAAAATTGAGAGGCCATTGAGCTAACATGCAGTGTGAAATATAGAAATGCTTATCGACTACAATATTACAGTGCCAAAAGTTGATAAAAATGTTTGATGACTAAATACCACGATTATACTGATCATCTCATGATATGCACCTATGTATTATATATGAATCTCCAACACCTACTTTTCCAGTAATTTGTGATTTTTGGGCGGTTCGTTCCACCAAAAGCAATATATTAAAAAACCGGCATACATTGTCGAATGAAAAATTAATCAAACATGGTATTTTTTTCTGAAAAGAAAGCAAACGTGGAGAAAATTAGTATTCAAAACATTATTTTAATTGAGATTGATGCATAATTCACCATGAAGTAGTCGCTGTTCTGACAGCATATGCATGTACAACCATATCGTGAACTATATCGTTAATTGCCCGATCTGAACTTATCCACTTGAAATTCATTTTTTCCCAATTATTTCAAAACTTGAAAAAATTTCTTCAAAAGTTTGAAATTTAAAGCTTACACTGAGGACAAAAAAGAACTTCGCAATCTCTCCACTGTGGTTTTCCGCGATGTCTTGCAACATTGAAAGTGTTGTGGTGATTTCCTCTTCTGTTCCATTTAAATGTTGAATAATGTTATTAAAAATCTGAAAATTAAGTTCAATTGTGTGCATTTCTTGAATCTTTTTTTGTCAGAAGTTATCCGATATTTGAAATTTCCGATTTTCGAAACAATAAAATAAATTCGGCCCCATTCAAAAAAAGAGGTCAAAATAGATTATACCACTGACTGCTCTGATGGAAGTTTTACAAACAAAGTTTTGTATCCATGAGCTCCAAATTGCATATAAATCGGTTTCGAAGACCACATTAAAGTATCGAGAAAATTACAGATAGGCCGGAAAAAGTTCGTGATAAACTGAAATTTTTGAGTTCTAAAGAGCAAAATCCTTGGATCGCAATTGCTAAAAACACTGTTTTCTCCCAGAAAACAAAGGAATTAAAAAAGCGGTGGCCTATGTGAACTATTGAAAGAGGATATTCCATAGATTTTTCTTTCTGAAAGTCACAGATGAATATGAAATATGAATATTTTCATTGAAATAAATACAAAGAAATAAAGAGAAAGCGATGATATATTAAAGTCATTAAAACAACAGAAATTGCACCTCAGTGTACTCGAAAGTTAACGTAACAAGACGTTCCAATTGGAAGTGTTGACTGCATAAAATCTGTTGTTTGAAGATACTGTGGATTGTATGGCTCCAGTTACTGACATCCATCAAAGCAAAATAAAATAAAACATCGAAAAGAACCGGCATCTAAAATGACATATAACAGATTAATAAATGTTAAATCAGAGATCATAAAGTAAGGACCTTAATGCAGCATAATGATACAGATACCTCGACGTCATTCGGGATTAATCATTATACAAAAACCATATATCCAAGATATATAATTACCTACTAATGCTGTCTGTACAAAATGCATTTTAGGCATATTCGATCGAATTACTTTTATTTTCATTTCAGATACATTTTCTATAAATTAACCTTTTTTGCAATTGGAACAAGATCCTCTCCGGCAATATCATCTCTTTCATTCTTCTCATCATTTTGCTCTTGTTTCTCGATGGTCAGCATAACTACTATGTCTTTCCAGTAAGATCCATCACTAGTTTTCATCTTTTTTAAAATTATTTCGAAAATTTCCGTCAACACTTGACCAATAGTTTTCTTTCTGAAATCTGCAGATATATTTGAAGATTGAAAGGACATTCGGAAGGCAAAAATAATAAATATAATAAATTAAAAATAAGATTAAATAAAAAGCATTCAGATGCTATAGACCAATAGAAAAAATATGATCTTCCAAAGCATTAAAATTTGAAGTTTATGAATGAGTAAAAGTTTAATACCTTGCTCCTGTTTCCGTACTTTTTAGGTCTTCTATCTGCAAGTGTGCTCGAAGACTGCAGAGAATGTTCCGGAACGCAAATTTCTCATTTCTATGAACACTACCTAAGCAATATGCCACCAGTTCCGGCAAAACCTCTATATTCAATTTCATGACATTTTGCAACATGATTCCATGAATCTAAAAACAAAAGCAACGATAGGACACAATAACTCCTTTTCTAGAAGTCACCTCCCGCAATATCTAAGAATTCACCACAAATATAATCGAAACGAAAAAAAGCAGTAGAGGCAAATACAGATACCTCAAACAAAATAGCAATAAAGATTTATTTAAAATTAGTTTATTAGATATGGAGAGTTAATTTTGAAACGAAAATTACCTTATTTGTTGTTTGCTCATCAGTGCGAAGTAAAAGAAGTGTTTGGAGGATAGTGACTCGAAAGGATAGTAAATTGTCATGAACACTTCTCAGAAACATTTGTTGCAAATTGTTTGCGGCATCTGGAAAAGAACAAGACTTTTATAGAATGAAAAACAAATGATTATTACATGAAAATTGGATTACTTATCTTTATTTACAACACAACAAAGGCAAGTAATTCAACCTGTTGCAAAATGAGGAATAAAGCGCAATGGTAAACCTATCTGCATTCATTATCATGAACAATCCATCGGATGAAAGCTCGATAGATTTTGTTAATACACAAATTTAATAAATGAAAAAATTGACCTTGCTGGACGACTTGACTAGGTAGAATTTCCGGCAAAACTTGTATCAAGGCGTCACGTGGTGCACAACGCCAATTCTCCAAATCGCAATCAAAAATAGAATTAAAAATCCGTTCACAATCATATATAGTATCCAAATAACGAAATTGTGCGATACAGCCAAGTGCAAGGGAGTCACTTTTTGTGCAATCACTAACAACGCTAAAACTTTAATCTTAAATTTTTTCATTCTTTCAGCTGAAAGAGAAAATATTCAAATAACGGTAATCAAAACTAAGAGATGATCTCGATGTATCGTATAACTAATAACCCAATCAACAGAAGCATCTTTTCCATTATAGAAACAATTTTAAATTATTTTAGTATTCTAATATCCTCAAAATACGTTGGCATTCTTTCTTGACAATGTCGCTAAACCAAAAAAAAAAAACAAACAAACAACTGCATGACTGATTCTATCCATAAAAAATTTCTGCAATTTTGATTCTATTCATTAAAAAATTCTGCAACTCTACCTTTTCGCAAAAGTTTCAATCTTTCTAAGTATCAAATCGAATGTGGAGGCCTGTGATGAATTTGACATCAGCAAAGCTCGAATAAATGTATCCTGTAAGGGTTTTGTTTAAGAATCTAAATCGACGATTAGCGAAATAGTTTCGTTAGCATCTTTCAAAGGATTTATTTAATATCTTGAATGAGTGAAAGCTCCCAATAGTAAAAAAACGAGTATCCTAGAAAACATGGAAAATTTCTCCGCATGTACAAAAAATTAGAATAAGAAAGGATTTGCTGACCACATATCCTGCTTCAGTAGCGGAAGGTGATAAATACATTTTAAGTTTAGGCTCTTCAATAATTTCTTTCTCGAAAAGATCGAAGAAAGTTGCTCTTTTCTGTAATATCATAAGGCAAATTTAAACAGAACATTTTTAAAAGAAAAATATAAAAAATAGCAAATTAAAGTACGATGTAAAAGATATATTGATTATAAGATAAATTTCTCACATTGTCATCCTTGCAGTATGCATCCAGTTTCTTTATCAGATCATGAAAACTATTTGCTGAAATAAAAGTACGATATAGTCAAGCATATTATTAATTGCAAAGCATTATTTTCATTGCCACATCTGCCATCACAATTATTAATGCTTTGATTCGGAAGTTTTTTGTTACTTTCACAATAACCAAATTTGAGAATAGAATCAGCAAGAGAGCAACCGCTCAGCCAACTTATGCAATGATAATCCGGAATACAGGTGGTTGCAAAAGCTTCGCATGATTCTCTAGCTTATGCAAACAACATCGCTTTGCTAGTAATAATCACTAAAGGAAATAAAAGTTATCAGAAAGAAAACTTTAACATTACTCTAACCTAGATATATTGATACTTTATCATCGTCACTTGTGCATATTTTAATCCCCATTTCTTCCAACAAATTTTCGAATGTATTTCGCGCGGGTATTTTACTGAAATTTAATTTGCATACATTTCCATTCTGCGACTGTGTATAACACCGATCGAGAGCTCGACGAAACTCCCTTTCATCAATTATAGGATAATCATTTTCCAATGAATCATCCTTTGTTGATGATACTTGAGATGGTGCTGAAATTTAACTGACGCTTGTATAGAGAAGGAATTGACTACAGAAATGATAAAGCTATTCAACGATGTATAAACTCATTTACTGTCATACAGTTTCAAATTAATTCCGCCATTGATAAATCAGATTTAGACAGTAGTAATTTAAACCAGTAGTAATTGCTCAAATCGGAGCATTAAATATTTAAATAACAGAATCAATGCAGTTCTTCAATTTGATTGAGAAGATACCTGGAGTTGAAAAAAACTACAATACACACACAAATAATGAGATACACGCAATCTCTCTCTATATATATACCTGTCATCTGCATAGAAGTTATGCTGTATGTAGCATATTTTCTCACTGACATTATTCAGTATTCCATTTTACAGTTCAAAATTAGCCTGTGAACAGCGATAACTAACCATCTACAAGAGGCGGCGTCGCTGGAACGGATTCAAAGCTATCCACCATGAATTCGTTCGAACTTTTCTTGGTCTCCGATTCGCCTCGACCTTTCTTCCGTCGAAACATCGTCCACTTACTTGTAATCAGTGCTTTTCAAAATTTAAAAAAATCTGACTTAATTCAAAACACTTTACGCACCTAAGAATCTCTGCTGTTAATAACATACCTCATCTCAGGTCAACCCGCTTTTAAGAACTCCTATTTTGAGTCTTTTTCCAAATGTTTGTTTTCAAAATGAACTATCTATCATCGAAATCGTCCCCATGCAAATCTTGAACACCTAATAGAGTACCATACTCCGTAAAGCAACCGAAAAGATGTCTCTGACAACACTTAAATATTAACTGCTTTTTGAACGAATTTCCCGCTCGATGAGACGCTATGCAACTCACACCTCATACCTGCAGACTGAGCGCTCAACATCGCCCGTATACTTTACACACCGCTTAGAGTTGTTTCGAAATGCTCTTTATTGTGATATGAACAACCTGGTATATATCAATAAGCTTTTATCACAGCCATCACAAATGCAAATCCAAAACGAAATAAATAACGATGAATTACAGAGAATTTATTTACATGTTGTATATCAAATCTTTTCCTAAACTGACATTAACAGATCTTTCAAGTTTGTTTAATATTTTCCATCTGTTTCTGCATTTCGTAAGCATTTTCCAGTTGTATAAAACGGGTCATTAGCAATGGCAATGGTACTGTAGCTAAATGAAATAACGCATGCGAATCAATAATCCAATATATGGGAACAAAATCCAAGATCTGAAATTGTCAAATGAAAAAAATTCTGCAACGGAAAAGGAGATGTTTAGTTCACATATTATTCTAATCATTGTGGTTTTGCAAAAAAATCACTACGAACAAAACTTCCCAGGACAGGTATATGAATCGAATTTTCTTCATAACTTGTAGAACATTCCGTTCAACCAAGCCGATTTTCTATATTATGAACCTAATTATCTGCAGTACAATCTTTTACTACCAGAGCGATAGATTTGCCATCGATAGCAAGATTTGATAATAAAGTATGGCTACGAATGCTTTAAACAGAATTGACACTTTAATGGGAAGTTCTTCTATAAATGAAATCAAAAATTAGAAGTGCTATGCCTCCAATAGAACTGATAATAGGCCCCACGTGACCACGACAATTAAATATCTTAACGATTGCCGGCTTGAACGATCCCTTATTTTCCATTGCTGTGCCAGCCATACATAATAATTCATAGCTGTAAGGAACGAACATACAATGCACATTTTCATATTGTAACCGTAGTCGAAGTATATCTGCAATGTACGGTGCTTTTCCAATCGAAATTTAATCCACAAATTCCAAAGAAAACTTTCCTGTCTCTAAGAAAATATTTCAATCATCAGCTGATAAACTACCTTTAACTATGTATTATAAAAAAAAATGTGGATTTTTTTTTTTGAAAAGAAAAACATTTTGAAAAAAGAAAATTACTAACCATAAGACTGTATATATGGTTTATGTATAGGTATAGAAAGGTGATGAACAAAAAGGACCACCTATAATGGAAACAAATTCAGATATTTTTCGATCCTAAAACTGCGGCAAGATGGTTAGTTCTGTTACTACACTGATTCCAGTTACTACACTGAATAAACAAAATTATCTAAATGACAAAAACAAGCAACAGCTTACAAAATTCTTCCTCGGTGACAATTTTGAAGTGATTTAATGGTGAACGAAATGCTAGCAAAAAGTGCGAACACAATAAATGCACATGCAGCGAAGTAGTCCAAATATTCAGTTAACCAAAAGTTGGCCCAATGGAAAACGGCTGAACATGTCCTGAAAGAGAATTTGATACTGCCAAGAATGTTCCGAGGAGATTTATCTAGACAATATTGATATGCTGTCTAGAAAACGTTTGTCAAGATCATGCTTGAAAATCGAAACTCATAAGAAATTGAGATGCGTAAGAATATCAAGGCAATAGCTTCGTTTTTGTAATAAACAAGACCACTTTAATCTAATTCTCAAAAAACAGGATTTCGAATTCTTTTCGATGAGGCTAATCAACTGAAGAAACTTTCAATGTTTTGAAAGCAAAATGCATCTGTTTACCACATTAAAATTCCAATTATTGAATAAGTAGTCCAAACGATTTTTAGACGATTAGAACTGCGCAGACGTTTAACTGTTCGATACATAGATAAAGTCGTGAGTAAATTCAGTATTGAAAATATAACGGAAGCAAATTCCTGGAAATACAGCGCAGTTTCAGAAAGTGAAGGAATTGTTGATTGAAACAAATGGATGAAAGAAAAGAAGAAAAAGATGTGAAAAAAAGGAGCCAAAAAGATGAAAGTCTTTTGAAATGAATAGCAAAAAACTGACCTGAATTGGAACAGATACAATTAATGGTAGCCAAACAGCTAAGAACGGCCATTTACCATGAAACTGTGGTACAGGAAGGCGTAAAACATCACTGAAATGTTTTACAGTTTTCCATATACAATTGTAACGGCACCTGCAATTAATTTTTAAATTTTTAAAAAATAGCAAAAATTAAATAACTTCTTACTACATTTCTTATCCGAACAAATGAGTGTTAAGCAGTTCCAGAAAACGTGAAACTTCTCGTGCATGACGTCACAAACTTCTAATTATCCATACTTACCTGAAACACTCACCAAAGATCCAACCACTCTCATCGTTTTTCTGCGGACAACCATATCTAACAACACACGATTCCACGCATTTCAAAAATATCTGATGCCTATCGCCAGCCGATCCATCTGTTGTCCTCGCCAATAAAGTCAATGCAAATAAGCTACCTGTTGTGGCTACTACATCCATATGCTTCCCACCATGCATATATTTGCAAGTTCTTTTCGTCTGTTTCAACCACTTTTTATACAAGTTGATTCTACAACATTCCTTGATAACAGCGCAAATTTGAGTAATTCCAACAAGCAATGTTTTCCAATCAAAAGTGAACAAAAAAATATTTTTGAATAATTTCGGTTATTCACTATTGCGGCGTACAAAACTGCATCTTACGCGAATAGCTTCTCTGATCTTGTGTACATAAGTGTGCCTCGTGTACATATATGTATTCCATGGTCTGAATTAGAGCTTCCCGGTCAATATTTCTAAGCTACGTATAAACGAGGAATAACTCCGAAGATATGAAGTTAAGAAATTTATTCTGTTCATTTTTCAAACATAATCAGTATGAAATAATAATGTCAAAAATAAGGACAAACATTTATTAGAACAAATTATTTTTCTTCTTTTTTCTATTCATTCCTCTTTGCATCGTCCTGCCTATTTACCGGCACTTCTGATTCACCGGTGACCTTTCACTAAACATTTAAAGAAATTGAAAAAGAAAACTATCGCATACTATTCCTATTTGTCTTAAGTTGAAGCCTTAATGCTGAGTTTCATCTGTTGAAAATAATCCTACAGACAAGCTCAAATTTTTAGCAACCATATATAGCTGAAAATAATGGACAGAAGAGTTAAGAAGGGCAAACAAAGCATTCGGGTACATATTAGAATAACCATAATTAATCATTTTACAAGGATGAGCTAGAATAGTTTCTTTAACTCTACTTAGAATCAGATCTAAACTTGATCTTACCCCATGCTTCTCATCGATAACATGCGAGTATCATACTCATGAAGGAGTCTCGACATACTAGGGCGATTTAAAACGAACGTGGAAGCATTTTGTCCAATATTCTGCCGTTCAGTTTATCAGAACGTCAGGATTGGCCAGATACACACCAACAATAACAATGTAAAATTAACAATGTAAAATAAGAGATCAAGTCTCGTTTAAATTTACAGCAGTCTTCATCTGCTCATAATAATGAAGAATTCCTAAAGAGAAAAAAAGTGTGAAAAGAAAAATTGAACCCGAAAAGTGTAAATACGAAGTCGTAAAAACTGCTACAACATTTGCAACTTAAACTGATGAATCGATGTTCCTTAGCATGTAGGAAGAAACCCGTGAACTTACAGAATGATGCTTCAACTAGTACTAAAAAATATCCTGTAAACGCCAATTTGACCTAATTTCCTTCAACATAAAACCTTAAATTCCTTGTTATGTATAAGAAAAAATCTTCGAAAATAAATTTGACTGGAGAAGAAGTTCTGTACAACCAAAAAAGCACGTAATAAATACAGTACTAAAAAGCGCTATGTACATGTTCTGGATCAGTGATTCCAACAGTTAGAAGGTAGAATAGCGAGGGTAATGGTACAAGTATTGCAATCAAGAGTATAAGTGTTCCATTAGCTGTTACACGATTTAGAGTTAATGTTAAGATGGAGAAGCCAAAAAGAGTCATATGAACGATAAGAATGAAGAGATTACGCGGCTTATGTATCATTTCGAAGTACAGTTTACGCATTGATTTTTCTCGTTCAAGTGCCATATGAAGTGCATTCAGACCCAAACTGCATATCAACGCCACATAGCCAAAGCTATAGTAAAGGAGACCTGCCTGTAACATATTCACTGAAGTATCTAGTTGAAATATTAACAAAATATGCACCAACTAAGCTCATAAAGTCATTTAATTTGGATGTTTCACCGACTATACATTATGAATTAAGAAAAAAGAATTGAAGAGATTAGTGTTCCATTAGTTATTACACGATTCAGAGTTAACGTTAAGATGTAGGGCTGAGAAGAGCCATATGAACGATAAAAATAAAGATTTATTATTACATTACAAAAATTGATCTAAAATATCATAAATGACAGAAGCCAATTTTAAAAAAAAGTTGAATTGAAAATCAAGAACTTACAAAAACTGCATGAAAGAGGGCTATCAGTGGGATGGTAAAAAGTGCCGCATAATATGGGTCACTGGTAATATAGCTGTTCTTGAATACTGTTAAATAAAGAGCTGAGCGAAAAATAATCAAACACACCAAACAGAATGCCAAGTAAATGAAAGGCAAGGAATATCTAAAATCAAATCAATTTTCATTCAAACTTTGAATAATGCTGTGAACAGAATGCTATAAAAGAAATATGGAGAGACCTGCAAATCTCCAGATTCAGAATACGGATTCTGGTTGTTATAAAATCAACTGGACAGCCTACTTTTATGGAATTAAACAACTTCTTCAACTTTTTTTGAGAGAATCGAAGCCTAATAATAATGAATGGATATTAATGGTAAGCTGATATGATCTTTTTAAAATGATAAGCTTGAATGAAACAGAAAAAACTCACAGTGGAAAGACTATTTCCTGTGTACATCGCAAAGTATAGGTATGATTAACGATAGGATTGTAAAATATAGGATACCAGTCGCGCAGTGAATTCTTAGCACAACCGTAAAGAAATGGAGTACCACGTGGTGGCATCAAAAGAAGAGAGAGTAGGGCGGATAAAACGCACTCCAATAAGCAACATAAATACTGCAAGAATAAGTGCTGCCGTGTACTGAAATAATTTTCTTAATAGATTTCTTTTTAAATTTCAAAAAATGCTTCACAATATTACTTCCTCTCGGCTTGTTAATAGTGCCTAATCAGCCACAGTAAGAGATATTAAAATTCAGGTATTGTCTGTAATGTATAAGAGCGATAATGAGCCTATAACTAAGCTCATGATAACTGAAAGAAGGCCGAGTACTAACGTCGAGTCCTGTTATTAATTTCTTCTCATTGCAATGATGGTCCGTTATTTTTCGTTTCTGCAGCATCTCAAAGTGATATCAATATGTACAAAACTGAAACTATCGAGCTAATCATGTTTTTAATCATAAAAACATGATTATTTCCATGTTTTTTTGGGGTGTATGAAAGTACAAATAAAATATAAGTAAAATCTGTTCATGTATTGAAGTATCAACAGCTCATATTTAGCGTAATGGAAGACCGTTTCCTTGACACTATGATAAGAATGCAAAATGCAAGCATATCAGTTGTTCCGTTTCAGTGAAACAAAGATACATGAAATACCTATGGTGCCGAGTTTGCTAAAGAAAATGCCTGCATTATTAAAATTGCATACATATAAAATTGTATATTTTGACATTCTTATACCATAAACGCTGCGCAACATTACAAAAGTTGCTTTGATTCATTTTATTACCGTATTCCATCACATTTGTATACTTATTTTCAGCCAAGATGGGACAGAAAGATCACATACTTTCCTTTTATAAGAAATCGTATTTACTTAATTTTTAACTCCTCACTATACTTTTCCATGCAGAAACTTCATATTGAAAACTACTGGATTTCTCCCTCCTTAAATGTTATTTCTCTAGCTTTTATTTCTTATCTCGATTAAGCAGCACGGGAGGAAAAAATAACTTGTGATAAGTCGATCGAATTATACAAAACATTACATACCTTTTGGGAATAGCATAGAACTGCACGAAGAACGAATTCAACAGCAAAGGTACCAGAGCAATGAAAAGGAGATAAAGCCAGTCGTAGAAAGGTAAGAGATCATCACATGAAGAGCACAAGAACTTCTCGACACTTCGATGACCCCAGCTACAAGCCTGTAAATATTTCAGTCATCATGTAAAGAGAGTCATAAACTGTAACGGTAATCCTTCTCTGGACTGTTATTATCATTAATGCATTAACAGTGATATTGTTTAAATGCCAAATGAATACAGCATTTTACATCCTATTATTGCTTATCAGTTACGGTGTTCAAATTTAGCAAATAGTTAAACATTCAGGGTAAAAATAATGGGAATTTCTTCCAGTGGAATTAAAACAAAGCAGACCTGACAATTGGAATAGGTAACATTTCCAGATGACGACGTGGTTGCCTGACGACCACAAAAGCCGGGGCAACTATTGACGACAGCTAGTCGTGACAACCCCGAGCCATCATCTACCATCTTATGTCATGTCTGAAAACTACAGCAACAAACTTGTGGTTCACACGGAACTTAAGATATGCCAAATGGAACTTAAAAATAGCAAGATATCGCAGAAAGGAAACAGTCAGGAAGCCTTCGCTGCCAAGACCCAAACTAGCGCTCAAAGCTCAAAAAGTATCAAGCTAACGTGGTGGTACGCTTTCCCTCACCACTCACTTCGTCGTGCTACAAACCGAGTTAAGCAGCACTCCTGGCCTCTTCCGGAAACCTTCTGTCATTTTCATCGAGTATTCGTCGCACTTTTAGCGGCCCAATGTGAAAATACTTCGTCTACACTTCAACACTGTAGAGGAGCATCAAACGCAAATTTATTGCAGCAACAACCAGCAAAGAAGAACAATAACAATGTCACAATCACACACAAAAATGTTTTGTAATAAAGATAACCCAGGCTCAAACAGTGAGAGTGTAACTGATGGCAGATATATTAAACCGAAAAGATTCTAACAATAATTAAATCGTGCTTGGTATTGGATAAGTTCAGAATAGGACTCAAACAAAGGAAAGAGAAATAACAAAGCTTGATTATCCTGGCATTAGACACTAGAATATGAGACGACGACAAATAAGAACTTTAAATTTTCGTAACAGCTTTGCTATCATTTATAAAGAATCCTATTTTCGTCTTGTCAAATTGAGGAATGCAATGAAATCTATCATGAAATCAATGAGATGGAGTATAAAATCAATAAAATATAATATAAAAATAAATAAATGATTTACATATCCAAAAAAAGCCAGTGAGAAGCAAACTTTTCGATCTACAGTGTATGGGTATCCATAAAGAATTTCTGAATCACTCCTTCGTTCGTTCTTTTTGTTGGCGTCGATGCAGGGAACTTTCTGAAGCTTTATTTGAATCCTTTCTTAAATCATTCCAAATGAGGAATGTCGCATCCCCTTCTACTTCTGACTTTTCTAGTTGAAAGTGACCCTTAAAAGTGAAATACTTAGAAAGTTTCTGACAAGCAAAATTGAGTAGCTCTTCATTTTTGAGTCATACTTTCTTGAAACTGAACAATTTTTAAGAGACGATTAATCTGATTATATTAAACCCACAAGAATTGACGAAAGTGCTGTGAGAAAGGGAATCAGACCTGAACCCTATTAGCACTCGCAAGGTTTTAAACAACAGTTCAAAACTACAAACGTTCATCCGCACTTCAAAGAGGTAAACAAGAAATTCTTTCAGAAGATGTAAAATATAAAGTTTAACCTCAGTTGCTGCTGTTTCAGCATAGACTTCCAGCGCAGCAGACGATCTCTTCGTCTCGTCTGTCGTTGTAGTGCAGCTTAAGTTAGAAAGGCCGGAAGAACCAAAAAAGACCTGCAGCATCCAATAAAGAGTAATTCCTGTCAGGCAGGTAAAATACGTAAAGATGATGATCAGCAAAGAAGAAACTATTGGATAATCGTGAAGAAAAATACGTAATGAACACAAGCGAACCCTGAACAAGAGTTTCCCTGATTCTACCTGAAATGAAATACAACTTTAATCTTCAAAAAACATTTCTAACTCGTTGCTCTTTTATTTTTAACAAAAAATTAAGAAATACCTCAACAAAACGATTTTGAAGTTGTACATAAAGTACTGCAATATTTGCTAGATCACTATCAACTAAGTGATTCGTGAACATGACTTCTAATTTACGATCATCTAACGTAGTCACCAGTCCAAAGAAATAAGCAGGGAATAATAGTGTTTTGCACGCCTGAAAGAAGTTAAAATCGGTTGGATTACGACAGCTCTAATTATTAGTTACTTTAATACATGAAAACTTCGCAGTTTTAGACGCCCATTTCAGTAACAGCAAGATGTAGGTCTTCGTCTATGTTTAAACCAGTGCAATGCTATTACTAAATTTAAAGTCATAAGAAGCGAATATAAAAAGCATTAGTGAATCTTTGTGACCTATACAGAACATTACATAAGAATTTGAAAATCGACGATTTATTATATTTAACTGTGGCAATTTTTTTAGAAATATAAAAGAGTGCTTTTTCAAAGAAATCTATTTTCCTAAAGTTGAAGAAGTTATCGATTCAGATATAATTCGATAACTCTGTGAGAAATAAATCTCAGTAAAGATAAGACTTATTTTTCATAACAGGCTGTTTATCTCCATTAACAAAATGATTTCTCGACCGAAAGAGAGAAGGATTTCATTTTTTCAGATAGGACAGCATATTTTTTAAAACAAATAATATTCCCTTCAGATAGTTTTTACATTTACGATTGGTGTAATGCAAGCATTAGTTTGCGTTCCTGCTGCTAACTGGTCAGCAACTTCGTCGGAGAAGCAGGTCATAATTTGTTTTCATTTACTTTGCACAAAAAATTTCAACTTTATATGCATTTGGTATAGTGAGGATATCTGCTATACGGATAATACCAAAAACACATTCAATAATAAGTGGTTAAGTGAAGAATCTTAATTTGAAAAATGAAGAATCCTTATTTTGAGAACTGATCCTAATTTTTCTCATGACAATATTAATATACAGTATTCATTTGATGCTGATAATCGTATAGCACTTTTAAAAAAGTCCACTGATTAGATGGGAGCGCTAATTTCTGAGCTTTATTCAACAAACGACCAACCAAATTCCACCAACCCCGGCCTATACGATATATAATACCATGATGTTTATTCGCAAAACAGGACTTCCGAAATATCTTTTTCATATTTAGTTGGTCCACCAATTCAACGACAGCTTGGAAAATGCCAACATTTGAGGTGACTGTTGATTCTGATAGAACAATTTCAATGCTCATTTCATAATATTCTCCTGATGATAATTTCGGATTTTCCTGCAGATGACAAAAAGGAATTATTTCAATTTTGGTTAGTATAGACATTTTTTTTCCTGAGCTATGCAATGAAAAGACTTACCATCGAGAAATCTACCGTAGCAGTTGGAAATGAGCAAATACCAGCAAGTTGTTCACGGCATGTTTCGAAATTGAAATGCAGTGGTACCGTATATTTCACCAATGAAGGAAGAAGAAACTGTCTGAAAATAACTATACAACAAAACCTTTCAAGACTTTGCAATCTCTGCATAAACTCAGACCTATTCAAATTAGAATTTAATCTAATAACATTAAAATAACAATAATTTGAAAGATATTAAACAATATAAACCGCAACAGAACATAAAAAATTGCTACTGAGATAAACCAAAAACAATAACATAATAATAAACAAAGGGAAAATAGTAATTGCAGCAAAAAATATATAATCTGCAAAATTAGTTTAAAATCATAATAATACAAGATAAACCTTGTAAAAATCAATCCATAGTGCATGAAGTCACAAGGAAATCTATAAAAAACAAACATGATATAAGAAAAATTCTAATGGTATCAAACCAAAAACCTCAGACAAAAACAGTAAAAAAATGTATTGAAAAAAATTAACTGTGAAATTCCTCAGGCATGAAACTATGGTCTTGAAAATTAAAGGCTTACGTCAACTTAAACCTGCAGCTGTTTACTGTGATAACCACAACCCGACAACATCTAATAAGAAGTATCCTTTTAAATAAATGCTTCAATGCATTTATACTTTAGTACAAGAATCAGGAAAATGAAGAACACTTAGAGCATATGCTTCATCTATGACAGTATCAAAAGAATCTCCAAAAACAAAAAAATAAATGGACCAATCAACAAATGATTAAAATAATCATTTATCATTCATGAATGTTAATATGAGGAAAAAGCATATGTATCTTTCATGAATGTTAATATGAGGAAAAAGCATAGTTAGTAAGTAAGTAAGTAAGATAAGTAAGTAAGTAGTAAGTTTATTCGTCCCAACAACAAAAAAAAGAGAAAACAAGTAGCCAACTAAACACTCCATTCATAAGAAATATTGTAGATGAAAGGAGACCAGAGGAAAACTTGCAAAAAATTCTACACACAGTAGCCAAATTCAAAACACAATGGAACTGTGCTAGAAAACTCAAAATCCTGCAAAAAGTAACCTGAGAAGGAAAGGCGAAGCAAAAGCCACCGCAAAAGCTCCAAACAACTGGAATATCGCGACGATAACATAATAAAGTGTAAATCTATCACGTATCCATAAACCGATCTTTTGCAGCAGAAGCATTCATTTATTCCTGCAACTGCAGGTAATATACGTCAAATGATTAAATCGTCGTGTCAGACGACAAGATCAAAACGAGTTGAAGGTGACATCAAATCAGAACAGCTGGAAAATTTCGCGAAAAATTATGCTGTGTAAAAATTTCTGATGCTTTTTTATTTGGCCTTGTTTTAATCTATCGCTGTCCTTTAACGACTAAAATTACGGAGAAGAGTAGGAATTCTAAAACACTAAGTTAATCATAATAATTACAGTAACAATAAATAATAATAAATAATAACAATGATGTAAATTTCTAAACAGGAGTATTATTTGTAAGTTAGTACTCAAAATGCTCTGCATCACTTATTTTTTGAAGCAAACAAAGAGCAAGTCAATGGACCAACATAGTGACCATTGCATACATCATAGTGACCAATGCATACATCTTTCTATACAGTGGCATGAAAGACACATGCTTTGTAAATATTTCAGCATAATGTTCAATCCTTAGAAGCGGGAACTTTATGGAAAAGAAATGATTGTAGTAACTTTCATAGAGGTAGAAATGTTGGTGATAGAGGACCCCAACCAACTCCAAATCCTGTTTGGAACGCTGTGCAAATTTTTGACTTCACAAATTTTATGGAGAGAGGAAGTTATGATATAGTCATCGCAACACTAATTAGATTTGTGATAAAATAAATCATAGAAGATAGAAGATGCTTATACGATTGATGAATTGATTGATATTAATCTTATCTATTTCTTTTTATGATTTGAGGGGAAAAAATTTGCATATCATTAAAAAATAATACCAAATTTTTTGCGGTAAAATTTGATTAAATATGGCAAATTTTGCTATTTAAGTAATGAAATTAGTTCTCGAGTCAGTTTGTTATTTGATCATTTATAGATAAAGCATTACTTTCCATCATAAATCATCGCTTAGATAGCGTGCTCCGATTCATTTGTTAAATAGACCATCAATAAATTTAAAAAGTTCGAAAAGGAAGAATAGGAAGAAATGGTGGAATTTGAAGGTGGTCACTCAATATCAACCTCAATATCAAAAGCTTTTGAGGATCAAAATCGCTTACCGCAAATCGATGATATTGTTAAATCGTCGAATCGTACCTATCATTTGATTGCTATTTTAGGTGAGGGTGGGTATGGGAAGGTGTTTCATGCGATACAAAATGGCAAGTGAGTGATTGAAGGTCAAAATCAGAATTGTGAACTTTTCATACTTTATGAAATTTCTCATTATAATCAATCAAATGTCACCTGTATGATGTCTAAGTTGAACTTTCGCATTCATTCAATAATTTAGACTGTATAATTTGCATCGAATTTGGTTAAAACTAGTGTTGTTGTTAAATTTTGAAAATGACATCAAAGATTCTGATAGGTTCTGATAATTTTGTTCTGTTCTGATAATCAATGATTCTGTCTGATAGGATTTTGTAAAATATTCGTTCTAACTAGAATACCAAAGGTACATTTGAACTGTTCAAGTCGAGCAATAAAAAGTTATACGCTAATCGATGCATATTAGCACTTATTTCTATTTTCAGAAGTTATGCATTAAAGGCAGAAAAGTATAGAAGTTCGATGCTTCATATTGAAATTGCTGTGCTCAAGACAGCACTTAAAAAAGGAGCTGAGCATATCTGTGAACTGCATGATTATGTTAGTTTTAAATCTTTAAATTCAACTTTGTCTATTTCTGCTTCATTTTGACTTTCATCAGTCTTATTAGAGATGGCAAGAGAAATGCATTAGCAGGGTTAAGTAAGATATTAAAATTATAGAGGCCATTCTCTGGAAGACGGCGAGTTAAAAACACTTCTTTTATCGTGTACTAATTAATTACTTAAATGAACGGAAGATATTTTAAAGGTGGTTTACTATGGTTATAAGATATATTGATGAATAGAGTAATATGTTAGCCATTCCTACAATGATTATTTAATTTCAAGTCTTACTGAAAATCTTATTGAAACTGATGATGGGTGTCTTTCCATATCATTTTCGGATACTAATCACTCTTTTCATAGGGTGCAGTGAAACCAGACTTTGTCTTTATGGTAGTAACACTTCTGGGCAAAGACTTGTATAAATTACGTAATGAGCAACCCGATCGACATTTCTCTATCAGTTCTGCAGTTCGTGTTGGTTTACATACCTGTAAGGCTATCGAAGAATTACACAGGTGAATGAATCATACCATAAACAATGTGTGGTCGAGCTATGTTTAATGCTATATTTGAACCTTTTAAAATGCACTTTCGTATTGAGCTTCCGAGAATAAAAATAATTTTCGGGGGACCGAAATCCGTGGCCTTCTTTAGTAAGCTATAGTTCTTTTCTTTTTTTCAATTTTAGAATCTTATCAATACAATTAATAAAGCCTCTAAATCATGAAGATCGACTTCCGTTCTTCGAGCCAACAATTGTTCTAAGTGCCTTTTGAAGCGTTTTATCATATCGCTTTAGATTTAAATTTTGTAGCTTTTCTGAAATTCACTAAATTCCAAATTTATAAATTAAGTTGGTAAAAAGAGTTTCTTTAAAGTTGAGTGTACACTGTTATCATTCTTTTCTGCAGTTGCGGATTTCTTTCACGAGATATCAAACCTGGAAATTATGCAGTTGGATTGGAAATAAACAAACAACACAAAAAATTTTTTTTATTCGATTTTGGATTGGCACGAAGATATCTCGATAAAGTATGGTTTGATCACATTGAATTTTGCTTGTAAGAAATACGTTCTTGAGCATGATCCAATAAATTTAGTTCATTAAGACTTCATTAAATGTAAGCTCGATTGTGGCTATGATTCCAATGAATCTTGTTAGATAAAGGGCAACTAAAGCTTCCTAATCATGATCAAGAACTGTTTTATTAGGCTGCTGTAACTTCTTTGTTTGATTATTGAACAATATTCCACGTCGTTTTCATATTTCCAGTTTTTAACAGCAAAGATAAGAGAATCATTACTTTTTAATAAATTTATGATGAACAAAGCAGTTTGTTTGCAGAATGGAAAGCATGTGAAATCAAGAGGCGAGATTGGTTGGCGTGGTACCACACGATATGGTTCATTAAAAGCGCATCAAAAGCAAGATCTAGGAAGACGAGATGATCTGGAATCTTGGTTTTATTGTTTAGTTGAAATTACTTGCGGCATGTTGCCGTGGCGACACATTACTGGTTAGACTTCTTGTTTGATAGCATTCCTGAGTTTAGATGATGATTCATTGCATGCTTAGTGTATATCATGGTGCAAACTTCTTTACAGCAGTCCCGGATTTCTAAATTCCTGCTTAATATAGATAATTAGGGATCAAGGATGGAGAAATGAAGGGATCTGGTTGTAGGATTTATACCGTTTATAATACAATTTTTTTACTACACTATAAAAGCAACTATTATACTGGGTTTTGCAAAAGTAAGGCTACAAATAAACTCTTTAAAGAAATGAGATTGCACAAGTTGTGTGAATAGACTTATAAATCGACCGATGAGAGAAGTTTGGGAAGAAAAAGTTTTGGTCCGCAAATAAAAAACGATTCGTTTTTGAATGATTTTTTTGAGAGGTGACTCGTAGGAATATGCCCATGATACCAGGCGTGAAAAAAAAAGGAAATAGTTTACCGAGAAACAAAATAAAATAGAAAATTGATGAAATAAATGAAGATAACTTTCAATGTTGTTTAGCATTGTTAATATTTACAATACATGCGTTGCTTTTAATAAAACTTAACTATGTTTTTTGAAAATTCTCAAGTTAATTTGCGAAGCGAAAAGGAAAATGTAGACGGATTGGGAGAAAAATAAGAAAGTGGTTGAATGGATGAAAGAAAAAACCGATCATATGACTGAAAGGAATTCAAAGTTGTGATGCTTCAGATCGTAATATTGCATATCAAGGTAAAATCAAAGCTCGAAATGAAGGTCGAAAAGAATTTCTAACAAATTGTCCAAATCAATATGATTTTATTATGGCACTTATTGATCGTTTAAAATTTGCGGATCAACCGAATTATAATGATATATACAAGCTTCTGGATCAGGTTTCCTTTGATGCCTTCGAATAATTATCTTATTAAGTATTTCGAAACTTTAAAGGACGTCGTTACTTTGCGGTACATGATATTGTGCTTCCATTAAACTAAGTTGTGCCATAGAATGTAGCAGTGATAAGGAGAATTATTTTTGCAATTAACTGTTTAAGTAAAATGAAGCTTGTAAATTTATGACCAGAGAATACAGATACGTGAAGAACACAGAGTGCCGATGAACGCGCAATACGATTGGGAGGAGGAAACGGCGACAGATCCACAACAACTGGAAGGTGGACAAATAACAGAATAAAGTACAAAAAAATTTTTCGAAATAAAGTTAAGTAATAGAAATTGAAGTTTTATGTGCAAAATTTGGACGTTATTATAAACGGTGTTAATATGAATAAAAATGTGTTTTTGTTGATTTAAAGCTAAGTGATATTTCTCACAACTTCTTTACAATGAACATTTCACAAACTTAAATTTGGAGACTTCCCATTATAACACTCTTGTTTATCTGTCAACTAGAGTGAAGTGATGCGTATTCCAAGTGTGACACTGAATTTTCGGGATAACAAGAACTATGTTTTAAAAAGCTGTCATAGACAATTACAACCTTTCTTACGCTCGTGATGACAGTAGTATGACAAGTAAGCTAGTATGACAAGTGTCAACTGTCTGATGCTCAAATAACTTTTTCACTTGAAAAGGAGCCAGCGTTTTTTCTTTCCTTCTGCTCTTTGCTGTGAATAATAATTCACGTCATATTTCATTTCTGCTTCGTGTCATTGTTGATTGTTGAATTAGGCAATACTTATCAGTGCCATTCATCTTTTTAAAAAACTTATTGCTCAATTCATCCGGCAAGAAACTTTTAATTTGTCCGATTAGTCCAGCACATGACAAATTGCCACACCAAAAATTGGTTGTGGTCAAAGTGTGACCAATCTATCAATCCTTGTTTCAGTTGAAATTTTTCCGTTTACTTAATTTCTCTCCTTATTATATTTTTGTAGCGCATTTTCATTCCGCGCTTACCGAATCAGAATTTAAATTACTAAGTAAAGGAGAAGGAAATTTCTCATTCTTTACTAAGCAAAAAAAGCTTCACTGAAAATTAGCATTTAACTATTACAGTAATTGCATTGAGGTCATTTCAAATTATGAATTGGTTTAGTGGTAAATTGAATAAATCATACTTTTATTTCACAGAGGAAAAAAGGACGTAATTTCATTTTATCTAATTAAATGCTACCTAGCTTTTTCAATTAATTTTCGAAGACAACGATGTATTAATTTTGTTAAAAATCGTTGTACAAATAATAAATATAATACAACAAAAGGTACAGCATTAATCAATTATTTCATATTATTCATAATTTTTTGATTTCAATTTTTATCCTTTGATACTTAATTTGCTTTTGTTGAGGAGAATGTTGAAAGTTTATTCAGCCTTTTGCCACTTTTTAACCGATGCGATTATCCTTGCCGGCAAACTTAACATGTCGGAGGTTTATGATTATTGATTAGCCTTTTAATAATTCAAATGAGTGTCTTTAAAAGCTAAGATTGAAGGTGAAAATTTTGATAAGCGTTTGAATTTATTTCTCGTTTTTTTTTAGCTGATAGTAATAAAAAAGAAGAAGTGGAAGATGTTTGATAATCAGCCATCTATGGATGATTCATTAGGAGTGGTAGGAAATAATTGATTTTCATAGATCTACCGTTTGATCAATATAATTTAATTGATGAAGATACTCGTGGTTACGTGAATACGCTCATGGTCGCTGGTGTCAATTTTTGAAATCATTTGAAATAAATTAAAAATTTTTTGATCGCTGTCTTAACAATTTTGTGAGAATAAGCCATCAATTAAGCTATAATGACATACCCATTTATGCTCATTTTTATTATTGCATATATCATTCATTATAGGAAATATGAATATTGTATCGATCCATCACTTAATTTATTAACTTTAATGTTTAACTTGAATTTTTGCATATCAGAAAACAATTCAGTATCAGCACAAATTCGTTTCAATCTATTTGTATTGGGGCATCAACAACATTATCAGGAAAAGGTTTACGAAGAAATCAAATGTGTCACCGATGAAGTCATCTTTTTTTTTCGAGAACACTAATTATGAGAAAATTTTCCTTTTATTGATAAGATCAGAATGACTCAAACTTTCTCTCACAAAAGCATCAAATGTCACTTACCGATGATGCAGCATGTGATATTACTACGAGTTTAAATATTGTTTTCAATGCATTTGTGAAATAAGTCGTATAACATCAAATTTATAGCTGTAGGGTGAAAATCGATGTTAAACTTAATACTTGTGTACTTGTGTGTTTCAAATAAATTTTTTCATTTAAAAATTTTCATTTAATGCTTGAACAATAATTAATTTGCTAAACTGATATTATAAAGAAAAATATTATCTTCAGCTGGTTATACTATACCAGCCGGTGTATATCATCGTTTTCCATCATGTCAGATCCAAAAATAAATTTTTCCTTTTCTCTCTCTCTTCTTTTATTAATAATACAGAACCTTTTTTAAAGAAGACATGTTGCGAACCGTTTATATAATGTGTTGAAAGACAAAAGGACATGCTGTAATAAGACATTTCATAAGAACTTGTCCAGAAGGAAATGAAATGATAGATTAGATGAGACAACCTATCTAATTTATAAGTTGAACTTCGTGCTTCTAAGACTTCTATATATGCCGGATAGTTGCTCTCATTTAATGCTTTCTGTTTTACTATTTCAAAAAAAGAAAAAATGATTATTTAATTTAATTGAGCATTTTCATAATTCTTATGCTATATAAGAATAGAAATTGAATTCCTTAGATCACTTAAGTTGTACGTGTTACTTTGAGATACATTCATTTAAGCTTAACCATCTGTATGGAAAAGTTATAGCAAAAATTCCAGGGGATTAATGTATTATAGAGACTAAATTGAAAAACTAATATCTATCTATCTGTCTGATATATGAGTGAATATAAATGATGAAAACCAAAAAGACTCTTTTAACAAAATGTTTATGTTTATGAATTTCTTTTCGAAAGAATTAAAAAATTATTGACAACAATATGCAAATACTTCTTGTTGGAAACATTCACTATTCTCGGGACAGAATTTATCGTTGCAACTTTTTCCCAGCAATGCTATACTGAAACCATTACCGTCTAATTTCACCAAATTTCCTTTCGTACATGAGGGATAGAAATTTTTCGCAAACATTTCTGCAATTTAATTTTTTTATTAACAACATTAATAAATAATAAATATGAATGCACGCATAATATAGTGCTTAATTAATGATAATTAAAAGCATAAAAGAGAGTGTATTCGAACTTTTCAACTCAATGCTTTAATCCCAATTTATCTTCTTTAAAAGTGATAAATGTAAAAAATGATAATTAAAATGAGATAATATATTGCAAACAAATAAATCAAGTAAATTTTCAAAACATAAAAGAATTCATTTCATTACCTTCAGTTTTTTCGGGGCAACAAATCCCGAAGAATGCCAAATGTCTGCATACATATTTCTCAGGACATGGATCGGAACCTGGGCCAGAACAAATCACTGTGCTACTCTCATTATCCTCATATGCTTTTCCTTTCATTGCACACCATCCATAATCTTCTGAAATTATGTTGCTTCGGATAAAGTTGCTTAGCAAATACAATACTTCGCGTGTCAATGTTGCAGAATGGTATTAATATCATAAGCAATCTAAATATACCAATTTACTAATAACTACCAATTTAATTTAAGGATTAAAAAAAAAAGGTTTACGTGGGATGCAATTTATTCTACATGTTTCAATATTTGAAAAACGATTTTCATTGCCACCGCAACCTTCGTATAGAAATGGTAGACATAGTTCTGTTTCATTGTCAAAATAAAACTGTAACTTTTCGTTTCACTTTATCATTTATCACAACTCTAAAAGATATTTTTTTAAATGTTTGAAAATAAATTTTCGAAATAAAATTATTTTTTAAATTAAACTAAAAGATAATTTTTACTTAAAATTTAAAAATAAATTTTATTTCCAAAAATTAAGATAAATGTTTTTATTTTTTGTTGAAATTTTTTATTAGAAAAAGAAATACCGCAACACTCGGCTCTGTACGATTATTTTCACAACGATATCCACGATCCTTCATTACCTTACAATCATTTGAGAAACTTAAAAAGCATTATTAATCATGTTTTAAAATTAATACTATTATTTCGATTTTTCTTTTATACAGACATTTATAGACTAATAAGACTATATTATCAATCATTGAATAGCCTAACTACAATTAATCAATTATGATCAATTAACATAATTAATTAATTAATTATTTTAAGTTTTTGAAGATATTAATAAAATCCGAAATATTATTCAACAGCTAACATACTTTTAGCATTTGATGCAAACACGATAAATTATATTTGTTTCTCCGTGAAAGATAACATAATGCATTCATTTTAATAATATGCAAATTTGCATAATCAGAATTATAAAAAAGAAAAGAAAAGAAAAAAGTTACCAATTACTGCTAATTATGCAAATTAATAGAAGTAGAAGGGCAAATAGAGCGGTGGTTATACATTTCATAACTTTCAACATTTTCGCTATATAATATAGAATTATCAAACCTGAAATATGATAATTTCTGTTGAAATTTTCCTTTTTTAATTAAAAACTTCTTCAATATAATCAGTAATAATAATACACAAAACAATAGTTGAATTAAGATTAAGCAAATTTAATCAAAACAAACAAACAAACATTTCATCTCTCAAACAACGAAAGAAAAAGAAGTATTAATTGTGTAATATGAGATGTATCATTGGAATGATTATTGATTGATTTAGAAGAAATCCTGATGAAATTTTTAAAAGATTTATATCTATGCATTACCATCATTGTATTTAATCAATTAGGAAACATTAAACTTCTTTGATAATTAATTTACCATTAAAATTTGATAAGTGCACACTTATCATCCTAATTAATGAATGTTAATGATTAGAAATGAAAAAAAAAACCCCTTTTATTGATTAAATGTAAGAATGTAATGCAAGTAAATTGCATGTAATAGAGTAAGAGGATAACTTCTACCACTATCACTACTACTATTACTACTACATTTCTCATCATATGCAAAATACTAATTTATGCCTACAATCATACATATGTTAAATGTTAATGTCAGAAAAGAAGTGAAACTGTTTCCGGATCATACGATTTTAGCCATCTGTTCCGGATAGAAGTACTTTACTTTCTTTTACATTCAAAATACATGAAGATGGAAAGAATGAACATAATAATATCATTGATTACCTTGGCGTACGGAAAGAAATGAATCACATAGGATACGGATCACTAATTATTATTATGTTTTTTCCTCAAATTTAACAACAATAATTATTTTTGCAGGTGGCTGTTATTTGAAGAGAAACAGAAAACAAGTAATGCATGAATTTTTTCTCTCTTTCTCGTTCACAATGATCAGAATTAATGCTATGGTAGTTTTTCTTTTACAGGGTTTGCTCAATATTAATGATCGGAATAGAAATACATATCGTCAAACTGGCTTTTTCAGTTTTTGATACACCTCAACCATTTCTTTTTAACTCTTTACGACATTCACTAGATGACTGTCAAAATTATTTTTACATTAATTCCAATGCTATTTCACATCAAACTCTCTCGTTGTCTGATAATTAGATAGATTAACTAACACATTAATTATGACCATCGATATGTATTATTTCGACATCTTTCAAAGTATCCCTCTATATGAGCTGTAAAGCATGAACGACATCAAAACATGATTGATGTATGGGTAGTTTACATTGATGTATAGATGTATAGAAAACATTGATGTATAGACTTTTAGTAAGATCCAACAGTTAGTTATTGGTTAATTCGTCGCAAAGATATCCTCATAAATGAAATGAAATCAAATTCTCAATATTTTATTTTGTTTGCAGCAATAAATATATTTAAACAGGACAAAATATAATAAATAAATGCATCGATAAATGAAAGATCATTTTAATGGATAATTGAGAATTAAATTTCAAACCTTTCAGAAGTTCTGAATAATAAAAGCTTCCAATATGCATATTTTTTTCCAAAATGTATAGATTCCCACTGAATCTGAAGAGAGATATGGCATGCGAGTAATAACAAGAAGAAATCGGAAGCAAGCGAAATACCATTCAATTTTATAAAACTAAATTTCATTCCTATCACAATGAGATGATCACGCCTTTCACTTTCTCTCCTCTTTACATCAATTCTACTGATTTGAACAGATGAGAATTAAAAGTTGCAAAGGCCTCTAAAAAAACAAGTGAATGGGAAGTAAAAATAAAATATATTGAAATGACAGAAGTAAAGAAAACAGAGCAAATAGATGTGAAAATATAAGAAGTCTGTATGCGAATGAATAGAAACAATATGAAAAATTAGAATACCTAAAAAGTGAAAGTAAGGCAGTGTCGTTGTTTTTCTAAAAGTCTAATTACCTTCTAATTTTTCTAAGTACCGACTTCTATTACTCATAACTAATTTTGGGCAAATTTTAGGATTTTCTAGTACAGCACTCGCTTCATATTATCCATATTAAAAACAATTAAATACACAAAAAATGAGTGTAATTTGAGAATAAGGAAAATTCAATAAGTAAATAAATATGAACAAGCTAACAGAGACATCCAAATTCTTCAACCCCATTTACTAGTGTACTTTACGCATACAGAATATTGTCATGGGATTGACAAACCGCATCTCATCGCTTTTCAGTGGCAAATAAACATTAGAAAACAAAAACAGTGATATACAGCAATGATATAGTATAGAGATACACGAAAAGATAACATCGAATTAAATTTTAATTAAAGCAGTAAAATCTAAGTAAAGCAAGAAATATTCAAAATACTTTTATGTAAATAGACAGGCAGTGCATGGAAATTAACAGAAGAAATGAGAAAAATTAAATTATAAATAGTTGTACGCCATACTACATCATCATAGTTGTCCCTTCTTCAGGACATCTTGGGACAAATTTTTTTAACAAATGCAACTTATACAAATCAGAGATGTTTCTTACGAATGACAACAAATTTCAATTATATTCTGAAGAATAACTAACAAAAACAATCGAAATAAAAGCTAATATGTTACGTGCGCGTTGAGGAATATGAAAGGAGTATAATGTAAACTGTATTTCAGGCATTTAATTCAGATGCTACTATATTCCAAGCAAAGACATAATGTAGAAAGGCCAATTCTGACCTTCTTACTTACTGAAATCGTATGCCAATTCTGACCTTCTTACTTACTGAAATCGTATTAGAGTGTAATTCAAACAATATTTCCAGCCATGACAGTATGCTTCAAATCATAATTTGGTGATTGCTGAATCGACTGCCCACAATGAGAGCACTTTTGAAGCTCAGTACTGCCTATTTGATTATCAGTGATTCCAGTCTGAAAAAACTATTTCCGAGTCAAAGTCTTAAAATTTAACCTGAAACGCATATTCACAAAGGTTAAGTATGAGAAATTGCGTAGAACTGATGAAAAAGAAATGAACTTCCACGCATTTGTCACCCAGCTACGAATTTCTTTCTAAAAAGAAAATATGCCGCGATTGACAAATGCATTAAAATGCAGAACTACCTATTTCGTATTTAACTTGTAACAATATGCACCTGATATTCTGAAAGTGACAAGTTTACAGGTATTGCAGCAGACATATATGGTGGAGGAGGAGAGTTGTTCCGCGATTGGTAAACATAATGTCTCGGCTCACTACGCCGTTTTGGCACTGACATCGTGGCGCTAGACCATGAATTATTTTCCGATACTGTTAAGTTGTGTTGCAAAGACCTAGAAAATAAAGTTTGCAAAGTCTGAAACTAGTATGAACTGAATGACTAACAAAGGCCACACCTTCTCAAATTTTCCACGCGATCTCTAGTTATTGGAGACCCTTCGTAAATCATATGGCGAACGTCCTGATTTGATACTGCCGGTACCATTTCAATTATTTCACGTTGGCAATTGAAAATAGCCTGACAACTCCGTGCAAAGTCTTGGTAAGCATCCGCCATACCCTGCAAAACAAAAATAATTTACGAAGAAGCGGAATTGCAGCATGTACAATTGAAGCAATGCGCATGCCTGACAACATGGTTCTCACTTGGATCTGATGTTAGAAAAAACCTACAATTCAGATTATTTCCATTTCTGGTAAGCTTGTGAATTTTAGACTGTACAATCATTATTGTATAGTTCATTAAAATTAGAAAAAATAAAACAGAATAGCTGCTCTAACCTGCATACCATTCCGGAATCTGAACATTTTTACAACTTCCATTTCAGCTCGAAGATCGGGTAAAATTTGTTCAGCTCGTTCCTTCGAAACTCTAATCTGAAAAGAACTCTGAAGTATAAAAAAGCCAATTCCAAAAAATCTTTTACATCCTTCTACAATGTCAACAGCAGCATTCTTCGTGGCAATGACTATGGCAATTAAAATATGAAATGAGCCAGCTATCACCTCTTCAAGTTTCTGATTCAGCAAATAAATATCGCCACCGCGGCGCTGTCTGAAAAACGAAACGCCTTTTCCAATTTCTCGTTTCAACTTCTTTTCTTTTTCTTCTAAATTCTTTAAATTTTCTTCCGCATCTTTTACCGCACGCTCTGCATCTACTATTTTTTGCAGTTGCTGAAAAATGCAAAAATTAGTTTAGATCCATCTATAAAGCGAGTTTATAATTTTTCGCGAACAGCAAGATATTTCCGAATTTCATTTACAGCGATACTACCGACATCACATTCTATTCTAATTAACGTTATCCAATATTTCAAAATTACATAAGAATTTTCAAACAAATTCAAACTATCTTTTTGTCAGCTTTTGATAGTCGTTATCAGGAAATAACAGACTGGACATACTTTTGATTTCTCACCCAACATGAATGAAATGAAGAAAATACCAAAGCACTACTACCTAGTTTTTTATAATAAATATCTTAGAATAGTAAAAAACTGGTCATGCCTGCAAATAGTGCGTATATTGGCAGGCAAATTGTAGTTCTTTATCGGCAAATATTTCATACAATTGCCTGGTTTGTTGCATAACATCATCAATTGCTGTGTTATCACCATTATGCGCCCATATAGCCAATGATTCCATACCACGACGTTGCGACTCGGCAATTTTGGTCATCAGTTTTCTGGAAGAGATTTCAATAGTCTCAGTCTGCAATTTATTTGGATTAAAATCCCATCAAAACTGTATAATCTTTAGTAACGCGTTTCAATGGTAGAGCAAATTATTCACCCAATACTCTGTAAGGTCATCTATTGAAAGTTGATGCTACTACTCATAAAGCCATATTATATTCCACTTTCTTCACCTTCAATCAAACAGTGAATGATAGAAAACCCCATTCTTCGCTGACTATGACTTAAAAACTAACAATAAGAAAGTTAAACGCAATGACATAATGCCTGTCACTATATATAAATATATATATACATGCAGCAAAGAATCGTATATATTAGTTCAGTAAAAAAAACCACATACCCTGTAGTGGATAAATCTAGCAATGCTGATTGAACTGATCCTGAGCAGCCAATACTGCCAGTATGAAGAAATTGTGATAATTTACCGAAAGAAGTAGTCCTGCGCCCTTTAAAGTTTATTCATTAAAGATAAAACATACTTGATGATGAAAAGTCATTTGAAATAAAAAAGGACTGTGAACTAGATCAGATTTCGAAACTCTTCAATGGTAGGAACAGCTAGAAAAGGCAAAATTCAACAAACTTCGAAACGGCCTATCTGTTTTATCAGCATTATCTCTACCACTATTGCTACCGCTGCTAACATTGCTATTGTTGTTCGCTGTTGGTAAAGCGGAACATGAATGCCTGAATTTTCATGTATTAAATTTGGTTTAGCCAAAAAATATGATACAAAGTCCCACAGGAAGCTTTGGGAATAAAGGAATGTAAACTTGGGTAATGATATATAACAAAATAAACACGATGATACCGTAGAGTGAGAATAAACACGATCTACTGATACTTTTTTTTATATATGCAAGGTACAATTTTTTTCTCAGAGAAAGCTTCGATGTACAGTATCTCCACGTTTCTGTAGCTGTGAAAAAAGATTTCCGAAACATATGTGGCAGATTTATTTTTTTTAAATTTTGCTATAGCACTTCATAGGTGGAGAAATGTCACCTACAGCATTTGCTAACCGTATATTCTCCTAACAAAATTTGAAGAAACCTTTGGACACGTCGCATTGAAAGGCTATTCATCGTCAGTATCAAGTGATTTCGGTGGATAATTTCAAAATATTTCTTCGTCGGAATGAATGAATGACAAGGACATATATCAGCCTCCTGAAAACAAAAAAATTGATGCGGAATATGTTAGGCTAACAACAGAATAGAAAAGACAGTTCAATTCAGGCTGACAATAGAACAGAAGAGACACTCGTAAGACTGAACATCAAAGAAATTAGAGATTTGTAGTGAATACGTCGAATGGGTCAGCTGACACAATGGCCTTTGTTGAAATCAATATTCAAACAGGAATCGTTTATTTGGAGGACTATCCGTCCACTCGGCCAATTACAGCGAGGAGAAAAAGGGTGCATACAATAAAGAAAGACATAACCACATAAGGTTGGCTAGAGAAAAAATCGGACATTACAACATGATGGGATCACTTAGCATCACGCAAATATTAAGATTGATCTTTAACTTAATTAACTTTTGGAACACGAAAGGTTAAGTTTATCAGAAAACAAATTGATGGAAAAGAATCTCCCTACACCTCTCAATAAATCTAGAAATAGCCAAAGTAACACAACATACTCAAGAGAATCCCTTCCTATGAAATGATCTTTATTACTAGCATGTTTAAAATTTTGGTTGTAAAGCCAATTTCCAGAGATTGGGGATCGAGTTATTGGAATTTTGTTGTTCACACCTTAAACCAGAGATAAAACTACAGAATTGGCCTTCGTCACTATTATCATTGATTAAAGATATATCACATCTATAATACACGTATCAGAATCAGTACAAAAATTAGCCCATCAGTTGCTCAGTTAAAAATCCTTGAGTACACTATTACGCACTCCAGTAATACAGCCATTTACTTAAAGGGATGAACGAACAGCGGATAAACTGGATAGCAGTGTAAATTATCATTTTGTCCCTACACCAAAAACCACCACTCATTCCTAGAAGATTTAAAATTCTTTAATTTGTTATCATCAAGAAATGATGTCTTATTGTCTTTTATCTTCGGAATTTTAACTGTTGGGTTCTAAAGATTGTAAGGTAACACAATGTATCATAAATTCTGAATTTCACGAAGTGAATTTAGCTCGCTATACACTGGAGTAGACCTCGACATAGATGAAATGCGACACAATAGTAACATTATTTATTCAGATTAACATGACATGACAACACTGATTCATTTTCAAATAAAAAGTCAAACATATCACAACTTCTGAAAAAATTTTAAATACATCGAAGTTAAACATGTTGATATGTGTTGGTACTGAAGTGAACTAAAATATCTGCATTGATGAATAATGTAATGATTGAAAAATGAATAAGGCTATATTTCGCACTTTATGACTACAGAGAAATTTCATCAAAAAGAACGATTCTTATCGCAAATTAATACTATATTTACATAGCTCAAAAATATGTATTAGAAAAAGAAACACAATGAACCAATGGGGTAGAATGAAATCAAATAACTGTGAAAGTCATTTTTATGAAAATTTTAAAACATTTTGCGGTTGGCATCTTCACCACAGGCTATTACTCTTTTCGATTTTGCTTCAAAGCTGCCGAAACCTTTTCACGCATTTCCTGAAAATGTAAAGATACAGAAATATAGAAATGCCTATGTTTTATGGAAAGCTAGTCCTTTTTATCCGCTTTCCTAATATTTTCAATGAACATATCACAGAAAAAATAGCAATAGAAGTATAGAAGCAGCTTTTGTGCGATTCATAAAAACTGCTAACTCCAAATAATCTTCGAAAGAACTCAAGATTAAAAAATATCCCGGGATAAAGTGGCTCAGAAAATCAAATAAAGAATGTAATCATTATATAAACTGATATATTCAGTTTTTACTGTTGGCTGTCTCAATATATTATCATGCCTGTGTTTCAAAAAATTCATGGAAAAAAACGGACAGCGATGACTGTTGCTGGATTGGGAGTTTTCAGAATTCCTGTCCCTGAAACGATTACGTTAGCACCAGCTTTTGCGCAAATTTCTACATTATCCAGACCAACACCACCATCAACTTGAATATTTAAGAATGGATGTGCAGACCGAAGAACTCGAACTTTCTCCATCATATCTGCCATGAATTTTTGACCTGAAAGAATACTGGCAAAATTTATGTAGGAAATCCAATATAGGGAAATCATAAGAATATTTTTAGAAATGCTAATTTAGTTGACTGTAGGTAACAATTGGTTGGTCAAGTGTCAATCAAATTATATGCTAGCAAATATTGAAATCGTCCTTCTCTGGGTCAGTAAACTATGGACAACTATGCCTACACTTTCATATCTTATAATCATAACATTCCATTCCGCGATCATCAAATATTGTGAAATATTTCCGGCGCACTTGTTAACAAGTTGCATAATAACAACGGAAGATAAACATGGCAAATAAAGATGCACTGAAATTGAAAAAAACGAAACTTCTGTCATATTTTGCCACTAACAATTTCATTTTTCCGCTATTGAACTTGAAAATCAAAATGCTTATGTTAAATTGAATCCTTATTTAGTATGCGAAATAAAGAAACACATGCATGCAATTTGCAAAACAAGTACTACCGTTGTTACAAGTAAATAAAAGCAGCCAATCGGTAACCTCCGAATCCAGGTTCAACGGTCATTACCAGAACCATATCCATGTCAACAAGTGCTTCTATCTTCTCTACCGACGTGTGTGGCTTTATTGCCACACCAACCTATAGAACAAAGTATGATTGGTACATTCAAATTCCCCTAATCTTGTTGCAAACTTCAAAATAAATCTTACGTGTCTATTAATTGTTTTAAGCAAAATGATTCATCACACATATTACAAGATTGAGCAAATATACGTTAAAAGATATTGATTGATAATATCTTCAGTTTAAATAATATATAAAAGAAAGACCCATATATGAAGCGCCATTCAACGCATAATGTAATCTAATACTAGAAAATTTGTTTTCTTATCCAAGAACTTTAAGGAAGTTTTTATTTTTATTGAAGAATAAAAGAAAAGAGAGGAAATATGAGTTAGAAACGGTCATCACGGACAATGTAAACGTAAACCAATGAGAGCTAGAATTTATTTTCATAATTTATTTTCATATATTTACAAAAAGTTCCAATATTTATCTAAAGTTTATTTGTCAGTACTCAATACTCACTCCACATTAAAATCTCTTCCCATGATAAGGCTCTTGAAACAAGAAATACTACAACCCTCTTTGCTTCCACTGATCCTTCATCTCCTTTTATCTTCCATGCATTGCAAGATCTCAAAACCTAAATTTTCTTCTGCCGACAAAGTAAAATCATAATTTCACTCATCGACGATGGTTTATATAGGTGCAAAATTTGTTTCAAATCAAAAACTACGACTATCTTATTTATTTGATAAAAAATGAATCTAACCTTCATGCCAGAATGTTTAATTCTATTAATAAGCATTTGGCAGCTTTTATCCGACTCCATGGCTTCGAAATGAAATACGAATTGGCTTGCACCCGCCTAGAACATAAATAGTGCTTTCTGATTTACTACTCGCTCTATTTTCATCTACTTTTAGTGACGTCGTGCTATCCATTAATGCACAATAACATACTAGTAGCTGTGGTTCAAATAAATATGGAAATGAAGCGTAAACATTAGACAACCTTTTTCATTGGTTCCACCCATCTTTCTGGATTAAGGACCATCATATGAACGTCAAAAAATGGTTCCGGTCCAAGATTCCGTCGCAGACAATCAATGACTGTAAAAAAAATACTAAAAATCTAAAATTAAGTTTTCCCTATAATGTTATTAACCTACATTTCTTTGATCAAAACCAAACAGTACTACGAAAACTAGTGTAGGTAAAATATAGTAACAATCATTGTATATCAGTAACTACGCCAAAAATGCACGTGATCCGGAACAATGCATCATTTTGTACAGTGATAAGCATAATTCGGGATGGAGAAAAGAATGAATGTAACCAAATCAAATGAAACGTCACCTGGATGTCCGAATGTCAAATTGGGCACGAAATGACCGTCCATCACGTCGAGATGAAGGTAATCAGCTCCATACTGCAACAATTTTTGGCACTCTTCCGCGAGATTAGACAGATCTGAATTTAAAATTGATGGACATATTATAGGTTTTAGAATATTCGTGCCGCACATTTCCTGCAACGAAATTCTGTGAAAGGACGCTACATAAAAATGACACGCAAGAAGTTCTTCTGCTAGATTCCATCTTGTACTAAACTCGTGTTTCTTTAGCTCTTGTTGTATGTATTTTCAAAATTCGCCTTTAAAAATAAGATTAGCATTTCTCGGCTGAGAATATCCAGTTAGTTCTGAAATTTTACTACTTGTCCCAAAACGAGTACCCACACCAGCAAAATTAATACCATCTCCGCCGCAGCTGATTACACCACAAAAAAATGAGCAAAAAAATACGTCCACTGGACGTATCTCGCTATGAAAAGTAAGATATTGGTATACTCTGTCTGAACTATTGGTATACTCTGTTTGCCAGCCTTGAATTTTCTTCTTATACTTCTCGCAACTCTTTAACCTTCTTACTTCCCTTCCGAAATTATTTCTTTTTACTTTTATTCTATTTCATCGTAATTTCATTGTCTCAGTTACAGTGGCATCATTTGATGGATGAACCTTTACCATAGTAAAAGGAGTAGGCGAGAATTTTTTCCCTCTTTGTTAATTTTTCACCACCATGAAGTTGATGCATCTTTCATCTCCACTGTCGGTCATACTGATATTCAATGTCTTTCTTTCCTTACCATCATTTTCCTAATTTTACCATTAATCCTCCCATTGGCCTTTTCTGAGGCCAAATTTACCGCGGAATATTTCTGTTATTTAATTTACAAAATTTTAAGCGTATCATAATTGGCTTAGGCTGCACAATTCTGACCACTCACATATATTCCTATATTGTCCATTAATGTCCAAAGGAGGGACAAATTACTTATTCTTCGTTTGATTTTTAAGTTCTATTTTATGGTTCTATTTGTTACGTTCAAAAAACTGTGCAACGGTCTGATTTTGACCATTTGTAGAAAGAGCATATCTATAAGATGATTGCATTATCATACACATCGTTAATATTTATTGGTTATTAATTTATCAAAAACATTTCAATGATCACGGCTGTTATGCATTCTAAGCCCATTGTTTAATAGGTGAAGAATTAAAATGTTCAATTTCATAAAACAGGCATCAAAAAATGATCATATTGATCAAAATCCGTAATTTCTAAATGATTTGACTATAACGTAAGTACATGAGGAGGTACGTCTCGAAATCATAAATTTCAAATCAATCGATTTAAAAAAATATTCCTCAATCTTAAATTACATGTGTGAATCGAATTATCCAATTCTTTTCCTTAAAAAGGAATTCAGAATCCTTCAGGAAACAGAATGGTTTAGAGAAACGCCAATGTACTCAAATTAAACTCAAATTCTTAGATTTCTTCGAAAAAGAAAGAAAAGAACAAGAATCACTGACCAAAACATAAGAGAGCAAAACAATAATTATCATAAAATCTTTGCATAGCAAACAAACAACATGGAATGCCAGAAGGAACGAATTTATGAATTCTCATTCACGTAAATACACACGCAAGTTTTATGATTAGTTTCGAAGAGTGAGATGAATATTAGCTTGCTTCTCAATAGATTCTTCCTTTTCTAATTCACCTTCAATCCTTCAGCTTCATCATTTCTTCTATGGAATTATTCCCGGAAATTTGAAATTCCTTTTGGATCAAATAGGTGAAAAGAAGAGAACGGAAATATTTGCTCATTGTATTCTATTTATATGAGTGCTGTTATATTGCTGATAGAATTAATAACTCACTTCAAAACTTCAAGGATTTCTTTTCTATGAAATCAAGAAAATCTTAAATGAGTAATGATGATAATTTTTTAGTAAGAAACGTTTTCAAAATGATATCACAGCTTAATATGATTAGCACCTTACTCAGATCATCATTGATCAATTCACCCGAGAAAAATTGTTACTGCTTTTTGAAATTTACTTATTTACTGACGCATTGTTGTTGTTGTTGTTATTGTTGTTGATGATCATCAGACGTGGCTGGAATTATTTTTCGGAAAAAGGCATAATTCAATCATTATATTTATTCACCTGTTTTATCTTTGATTAAACATAATGTTTTGCTGAATTTTCTTTTTTCGTATCAGTATTAAGTTAATAGTAAAATTGTGATGATTTATTCTTCCGCCTCTAATTCTCTACTCATTTGTCCTATTCTGATCAATTTAACCAAAGCTACAACTTACAATTCAACATATGACTGATTTCTTGTTCATTTCGTGAGATCGCTAATGCACCGATCGAAATATCATTGAAAACGTTAGCTGCCCAATTATCGCTATCATTTATTACATTATCCCGTTGCGTCCTTTTGTTGAGCATGAAATCACAATGGCAAGATGGTGGATTGCAACATGGTAATACAGCCGTAGAAAAATTACCTTAATTATATAAACTTCCTTAACAATGAAATAAATACACTTATATATAAGGTTTAGATGGATTTAACTTTTAGTGACAACATCTCAGACGGTTTATCATCAGCATAATCCATCTTCGTGCGATATCTTCCACAGCTATTAATATTAACATTTTTGCATATTCCTACTCTCCGGAAATGTGTAGGACATTTGAAAAATCTAATATCATTTAAATATCAATCATTTTAAATATCATAATATCATTCATTTATTCATCATTAAATAATAATTAATAATAAATAATAATTAAAAGTGAAGATATTTGATTTGGTTGCATATCAAATTAATTTGTTAGCAAAAATATTTTTGCAATAATTGATTGTAAAGGAATGACGATTAGTAATTAAGAAGCATCCTCATTTTTCTAAAAGAAAATAATTATTTATATCATACAATAAATTCTTTACCTAATTGCTGTGGTACAGGTGAAATGGTTTGCAAATGTCTATCGCGTATTCGTATTACATCATTTAAAATTCCCCGTATTTTCTGATTATTTTGTGGCAATGGATACATTTCATATGGATCAACAAGTAGATCGTAAAGAAGAGGTGGATTATGAACATACAATTGATCTTCCGGACATCGTTGTGATACATACCTGAAAATTAAAATATTATAAAACACAAACAAACAATCAAATAGTTTAATTGATTTTTAGTACCATCTTTCTCTAAGAATCACAAACAACACAAATTTTCTTGTTTTTTTGCAAGATCTCAGATAGTTCGAAAAATTCCTTCATTTGTTAATGTATCTTTCAAAAAATCTTACCAATCATCAATAGGCTTTCCACCTGGACATAACTTATCCACCTGTGGATCATTAGTGCTATTTTTAAAAATTGGCGACGTTTTAAAATGCACCTAAAAACAAAAATATCCTTTATATCATAGAAATATTAGGAAAGATAGAAATTGTAGAAAAATTCATTGAATTATTTGCCATTTTTTTCGAAAATTTTTAAGCTCTCCAAAAATTTTTACTGTCGTTAATGAATGTTAATGAACTATTAATTACAAACTTTGTAATTTCCATAACGAATTGCCATCAGATGGGTATTACAATAATAGAAGATCGGCCTTCCAAGAGCTAAAGGTGCATCAGATACACGATTCCCTTTGGAATTTGATGATAAACCTTTAAGTTGATTCCAAATTTCGATACCATCATAGAAAACGTTTCTTCTTTTCCATTTCCTCTGCAACTTTTACTTTTCACATCAACGTTTAAATGAAATTGAAATGATAATCTGTGGAAATGTTATTGTGATAAGATAACAACTGAAAACAATTTATGATACTGTAGAGTAGGAAGTGAAACATACAGAGAGATTATACGAATATCACAAATTATAAATTATCATTTTTAAAATAATTACTCCTTTTGATGCAAGTTGTTCAAATGTTGGAAATAGATCAAGTGACCAGATAACTTCATGTGATGCAATACCAGAACGAACTGTACCTGGCATCCATGAAACAAACGGTATTCTGAATCCACCCTCAAAACTATTCGACTTCCCACCTAAATTGCTAATCTAAATGATTAGAAATTTGATTTTTGAACTTTTGAAAATTTTTAAACGATAAAGAAATTGATAAAAAAAAGCAACCTTTTAAGCCAGCTGTACTTCCACCATTAAGACAAAGCTCTTGATGTGGTCCATGATCAGACATTAATATTACCAATGTTTGCTTTTCAATTTTTTCTTTTCGCAAACTATTCAAAACTTGTCCAACAGCCCAAGCCATTTCATTAATATTATCACCAAACAAGCCTAGTAATTTAGGATATAATTGTTATTAAAACAATAAACAAACATGTAGCCGTTAATATTGATATATTAATAATTTTAAAAATTATACAATAGTTTGAATAATTTTTATAATTTTCCTATAATTATTTGATCATTTAAAAAAACGGATTTGATTTCAAAATACTGATAGATTAGATACCTCTTACGGAACTGTACCGGAAACGTTTGTTAGCAAATTGTGAGCTATGCACATGAGGAAATGAGAAATAGAAAAAAAAAGGCTTTTTCTGGATATCATTTTCCATCCTTTCTCCTAAAATTTTCCACCTCTTAAAATAAAATTTAATTAAATTAATTGATTCCATTAATTTTGTTAATTATTTTTTTCGTCACGTTTACATGGATAGATGGCGAATTTCTCACAGTAAACTTTGAACTTATAAGTATAGGATTAAGGTTAATAAATTTATGATGAATGTTTAAAAAATTAAGATAGATAGTGTAAAGCATAATTAGAAAATGAATAGGAATACAATTATTGAATGTTATTTGTAGACGTGAAACACGTCATCTAAGTTAACTTGTTATTTGAAACATTTCTAAGCTTTATAAAAGTAATAATTTGAAGAAAAAACAAAAGAATACGTAGAAATCGTTTCCAATCATTAACTAAAGCTTCAGTTAAGTGCTCAAAACGAATTGGTTGCTGAACGATAAAATCTCCATCATACAAGAAACATAATGTTTCATTTGGACTACGGACAAATTCCTGAAAACATCGATCGTTTGGACGGAAAACGATTCCGAAGAATGAGTTCCAGTTGATGGAAAATAGATATTCAATGATTACTTCATTTTTATACAAAATGAAAGTGCGTGGAATTAATTGTGTATTCTTCAACTCTATTTTTAAACTTCGTAAAAGAAGCGCTTCTGTCGAATGCGTCGTACTTTCTATAGTATTTGGTGCATAAATAATAAACCTTAGTAGTATCGCATTGCCATACATTTGTCCACGGTAAGTTTAAACCAACAAAATCGAAACCCCGTTGTGACGGCAAAAAGGTACCATCAGTAGAGTTATACTTATTGATACCCAAGTGCCATTTACCAATCATACCGGTTACATAACCTGCAAATTTCAAATAATGAAATCAGGTAAGTAGCAACCTGAACTGCGCTCTAAAATTAAAATTATAAATGAGTTAAAAATGTTTCCCTTAAAAAAAATAAATATTCCACAGATCATTTTATGAATTTCCATAGAGATGTCTTACCATATCGTTTTAACATTTCCGCCATCGTTTCTTCTTCTTTAGGCAAACCGCCAACATCATGTGGCAAAAATACCCGTGCCCCACCTGTTACTCCAAGTCGAATTGGCAAACGACCTAAAATCAAACATTGTTCCTGATATTTTCATGATACTAGAAGATCCATAATTTGATACTTTATAAAAAAAACTTGAAGCTATTTCTTTAACTGGTTCTAAATAAATAGATAGTATGGCCTTAGGCATGTATAAATAATTAACACACATACCAGTCATGAAACCTGCTCGACTTGGCGAGCACATACTATCAGCGGAGTAAGCTTGCGTAAACCGTACACCTTCACGGATCATATTGTCAATTTCACCAACCTCTTGATTTGGATGTCCGTAACTTTGCAAATCACCATAGCCTAAAATTAATAAGAAAATTCTCGAATTTGATGAACGTAATGTTACTGTATGCTGGAAAGAAGCATGTACAGATTCACCTTGCGCAACACTTAGCTGCAAAAGTGTAATTGCGGATAGCGTAAACAGATAGTAGCAAAAAAAAAGGAAGTAATTATACCATCTGAATTTATTTTCACAACTATCTACTCTTGAATCGTAAGTTTCCTTCTAATTTAGATTAGAAAAAAAAATCAACATAATCCATACCTAAATCATCAACCATAAGAATCACAATGTTAGGCCGTTCCGGTGTTGCTGGCTGTATTTCACAATCATGATCAGCACATTCATTCATCCTTCGTCCAAATATCAATTCTAGACCATATAACATAACTATCCAGATACTAATTAACCAGCTCATTCTTACATCTAATTATTCTCTTTCTTCTTTTTCTCTTTTATTATTCTTCTGAAATTAATTCATTGTAAGATGAAACACTCTGAATACTTTCGAATCAGTTCGCAGGTGACGTACGAAATACCACACGTGACATATTTCATTATTATTGATTCTTTTCTTTTTTAATGAAACTCTTTCTTTCGATTACATGAAAATGTGAATTAAATGTGGTATTAATGTATACGATGGATCTTTTTTGAAATTAACATTTTTAATTGTAAATGACAGAAATTGCGTTAAATAATGATTGTTTACGTTCACGTCATATTCGTTCTTTTTACGTGTATTTTCATTTCCAAGTCACGTGGATATATAAAATGCAACTATTTGTTCAATTTGTGAAATCTTTTTTTCTATTTTGCATAGAAATATATTGCAGCAGTAAAGTTCAGTTTATGCAAACTTATTGCACCCTAAATTATTGTTAAATAATATTCGATATGATTTACAAAAAATATATCATCCATTCTTTTGAGATATTCCATGCGCTAATGTCCGCCTATTTTATCATTAAATATTGGCGGAAAATTCGTTCGTTTTTTCTTTTACTATTTTTTAATAATTAAACGAAAATAAATTTTGAGATAGAAGAAAGAAATGAAATAATTTGAATTTGAATTTTAATTTGTTAAATTTAAAAATTTGTTTGTTATTTGAAATGAACAAAAGAGATTGTTGATTTTACAGTAATTTGATATAAATAAAATGTTAAAAGATTGCTGAAGAAATGAATCAATCTTTCGCGCGTGCTAATTAATTAATTCGAATAACGGCGGGAATAAAAGATTGAATGGGTGGAAATTCGAAAAATAAGAATTAATGGAAATAATTCTGTTGCAAAAAATTTGTAAAGTAGTAAAGTTTATGGTGATTTAGCAAAATAAGATAGCTTGTACTTTCAGAGATTAACGAGCAAAAATCAACGAGCTGTCTATTGAAAATTAAAACTTTGCAAATTTCAAATAATTATTGACGAAATTTTGTCATTGAAATAAATTAATTAAAAATTAAAAATCTCTCTAAATCTCAATTAATCATCTCTCCTTCAGTTATCCGAGAAATTCCGAGATTCTCGAATGAAAACAACCAGTATTTTCGATTATTGCATATTTTCAACAGATGAAAATATTTGCCAGAATTAATTGTATGCCGTGCCATCTAGTGATATTTTTGTGGTAAATAGAATCGAAAAAAATAATATACGATCATTGAAGAAGAAGAAAACAAAAAAGAAAAAGATAAAGATTGTTGAGAGCAAAGAGTAAAGGTTATCATCTCCCTAATAAAAAGCCTCATCTTCAATCGGCTGGAAAACTGGCAAGTGCCAAAATAAAGCTAAGAAAAGGCGGTAAGGTAATAATAGATTTCCTTTCTACCTCTAAATATAATTTTGTATTAATACAGAAATACAATAAACACATACATACACATATCGCCAAATTTCCATTTCAAAATTTAAAGCATTTACTGCATGAAATGTTTGAAAGATATTGATTTTCCATGGAGTGAATCAATTTTCCGCGGATATGCTACAGGATATATTTGTAAATGCTTTCGAGATAATTTAAATTCGACAGTATTAGTTTTAATAGAAAGAATAGAAAGGATGAGAGACGAGAAGAAGCGGAAAAGGGTAGAAAATGAAGTTTTGAGAGGGAATGAAAAAGAACTCGTAATCTCGATGACCTATCTCCCTTTCCCTGATATCTGTCCATGATCTAAATTAGGGGTACTTAGGGATCAAAGATCATCCGGAATAATCAACAAAAAATATCATCGATATGACAAGTAGCTAAATCGAATTTGGCATCAGAGCAGGGGAAATAGAATTGTAATTTGGATGTGAAAAGAATGAATGATTTGCGATAAGAGCTTATATTGGTTACTTGTAGATAATTTGTGAACAGTTTTATGGAGATTAATCAAAATAATGTTGGAATATTAAAGCGTGCAGCATCTAAGATAACAAATCAATCAAATAGAATCCTAAAAGTTCATAAATTCCAGTTGGAAAAGTTAGACGGAATAATTTTGCTTTTAATTTTTTGCTCGAAGCATTCATATAATATAAATCAATAAAAAAAATTTAATTTTTTTAATTTATAGTAATAAAATTTCAAATATCTAATAATACTCGCTATTCATAGAGCGCAATTGTTTGCTAATCATAGAGCGCAATTGTCGCTATTCATAGAGCGCAATTGTTTACTCTCTTCACATACATATCCTAATAATGAAAATCGAATTAAAAAAAGTAATGAGAAGATGGAAAAGATGAAAGAAAAAGTTTGATATATTTTATTTTTGGTTAGTGGAATGGATGATTGAATTTTTACAATTCTTTTAAATCTTATCGTAAAATTTGAATTTTTCATTTTCTAAGTAAAATGGATGATGGATGGTATGAAGAAAGTAAAATAAACGCAAACACAAATAATAGCTCGTTCATCATTTTGCTCATCTAATTGTTTCCTTCCATTTATTTTTCCATAATGTGAAAAGAGGTGTAAAAGAATAATTAGGAGTGAAACGATGATACTAAGGTGACATCCGTAGCGCATTCACACTATTGTCAAATGATAATGATGATAAATCATTGATCAAGCAACAAATAGAAATAATTGCACCATTCTTCGCCAACTATTTTATATTGTCCTGAATTTGAAAGTAAAAAAGATTAAGTATAATTCAATTCTTATACATCAAAAAAGAAGATAAGAATAGTTGATAATTGATATGGTATGGAATATAATGATATGGAATATACTTCATTCATTCAAATTCTCGAGCTAATTAGCTAATGTTGGATATTATATAAAAATGAAATTCAATTTCGTTTTTTTTACGATGATGTATGATTTTCATTTCTTTTGTTGCAAAAGAATTTGAATGATTAAACAATTTTGAATGAATTATTTTTAAATTATTCATTTAGTGATGAAATTTTCACATAAATATTTGCATAAATGGAAAATAAATATTAAATCTTTCTAATTTTTCCATTATAAAAATTTTTGATAATTCATAGATTTATCTCTTTTCTCTTATCATTACAATGTAATGTTGATTTTCCATAATTTCTATTAGGAATATAAAATAAGATTTATCGTAGTAATTGAAGTAAGCATTTCTTCAATTGAAACTTTTGTTGAAAATATGAATGGTTAATAATGATATGAAATAGTTCTCGTTCATTTTCAATGTGCGATGAATTTATCTTACGGGTGGAAGCTATGAACATCCGTTGAAACTATTTCAATCGTTGAAACTATTTCAATACTTTTTTTCAAGTGGAAAACATATGCGATCATAGGATTTGAGTATATTGAAACATTAGTTATATATTCACGATAGCTTTTTAAAATAGAACTCATCAAAATTGATGTTTACAAAAGATCGCTTTTTTTTATAGAATGATGCATTCTGATGGAAAATAGAAAATAAAATTCAAAACATCACAATAAAAATTTGCAGGAAGAAATGGAAAAAAGAAGTTGCAACAATAATAATTAATAATAACAATAGTAATAATAATAATAATAATAATAATAATAATAATAATAATAGTAATACATTCCGGATTTACTATTTTTGAATTTATCTCTTCACGTTTATCTCTTTTACGACGATCATAACGAATTTATCTCTTTTACGACGATCATAACGATCAGAAAAGAGCAATAAAAAACAAAAATTCTTAATACATATGAAATATTAATTTCAACTTGCAGATTGAATAATAATTTAGGATAATAAAATGTAGGCTGTTTTTTTCTTTTCAAAACTTTTTATTGAGATTTTCTGATTGTTCAAATAGTAAACTAATTCCATAACGATCCTCAATTCGGTTATTAATCATTACTAATGATGAAAATATGGCAGAAGTTGTTAGTTAAAAGTATAAAATCTGTTAGGTAAAAATATAAATAAGTAAAACAAAAAGGAAGGATAAAGTGAATTGGAATTAACCGTAAAGGTAAATGTCGAATCTTCTCCAATTTTATGATATAGACATAACGGATTTATTGAAGAACCATCATACTGACCACTGCTTTGACCAATTGCTCTACAATGACCACTGTACACAAATATGCACAAATATACTTTATGAATTTATATATAATTCATTGCGTGAAGTTGTTATTTTAGTAATTGCAATAGCAACAAAATTTGTCCACTTGTCACCTACAAGCAAGCCATTACCGCCATGTCACAATATAATCCTAATGTGAATTGCTCGCTTTTAAACAATTTAAAATGGCAGGACTGAAAATAAAATATCATGCAACAATATATACGCAAAGTTTATCATCATCGTAAACACAAATAAAAATCATAATAATATATGCTTATTATAAATTTCAAGGCTTAGTATTAATAATCTGTTTTGCACGATAGTGATATTTGATCAGGTCAGTTAAACAATTAACATCAAAATAATTCTTGCTTATGTGGAGAATACTCTTTTGGTAGAGGAAAATGTGACAATAGCTATGAGAGTTTTAAGAAAGAAAACTATATTAGTAATAGTTCAAACATATAGTTAGACTGTTAAAACAAAAAATAGAAGCAGCTCTTGAAATGAACTTTTCTTAAAAATAAATCATAAAGAAAACTTTGCTAAACATTTTCTTCTTCTCATAGCGCACTTGTCTAATATGAAGAAGCGATCATAACAAATTACATTGTTTGCAAATAAAATAAATTTGGTGCAAAATAAAGATATCATTATTAGAAAGGATAAGTTGAAAAAGTTTGAAATCAAATTTAAACTCTCATCCTATTATCTTTGTTAGTACTGTAATTAATTACTCGCATATATAATAATTTATCTATTAGCATGCATATGAAGATATCATCATTATTAGAAAGGATAAGTTGAAAAAGTTTAAAATCAAATTTAAATCCTCATCCTATTATCTTTATTGGTACTGTAATTAATTACTCGCATATAATTTATCTAATGGCATGCATATGAAGATATCATCATTATTAGAAAGGATAAATTGAAAAAGTTTAAAATCAAATTTAAACTCTCGTCCTATTATCTTTATTAGTGTTATAATTAATTATTCGTATATGTAATAATTCATCTAATAGCATGCAAATAAAAGCATTACTCAATACTAATAATCTATAACCATTCAATGATCATCTCTACCAAAAAGTTTTTCGATGCTTAAAATATATATATCTCAATACTAATAATCTGTACAATTCAATGATCATCGCTATCAAAAAGTTTTTCGATGCTTAAAATATGTATATCTCAATACTAATAATCTATAACAATTCAATGATCATCTCTACCAAAAAGTTTTTCGATGCTTAAAATATATATATATATATATATAAATGAGAAGGAAGGTGTTATTATTCTGTTTGGAATTCAAAGGGGTAAATTTTCAATTGGTATTAAAACGCAATATGAAACGGTGATTAATTCCTGTTTGCTATATATTTTTATTTTTCACAACTTAAATATGAAAACATAAAAATTCTCAAAAATAATTTTGATGTAATTTTCGTTCTTTTTACTTTAACAAAGATTAAAATCTCAACAAATAAATTAATGCTTTCAACAACGAAGAAAACAAAAAATATTTTTTCTTAATTTTGAGATTTTAGATTTTAGTTCAAATTTTGCTATTTGCAAATTTGAAGTTAATAGATTTGATCAATGAATAAATATTCATCCATTCTAAAATTCTAAAAATATTCCATTCCTTTTTTCCGTTAGGAATTTTTCGTGGCAATTTTTTGACTGAGAAAGATTAATCACTAAAAGATTTCCCACTCAATCATTAGATAAAAATAGTTCGGATAAGGTGGATGGCTTTATTTTTTAAAATTTAAAAATGGTTACATATAGTAGAGGAGCAATGATAATGCATTCTTACATTAACCGAAATGAAATCAGTTATCAAATCGGTTATATATCATCAAATACAAAATTAAAATCTTAACATAAAATAGAATGAATAAATTATTCAAGGAAGGGAATGTAAATGTTGCAGGAAGATAATTACGAACTTAAATCATTCAGATGAATGTTTAATTTTAATTGGACCTAAAATTAATTACAGTATTTCAGATATCGAAGAATAAACAATCATGCAGCAATCAAAATATGTATAGTAAGATTTGCTAATAGAAATAGCTTCAAACAGTAATTTATCAACGGCTAAAACAATGAATACATCAGAACGATAAAATTAGAAAATAAATTTACACACATACACATACACGGGGAGAAAGAGAGAAGGCACTTAGATTATAATTTATAATTTTATAATTTAAATTTGCATAAAAGAATGGAATTGAAATTGTTGCAATTAAATATATCATTTCAACTAATTAATTAAATTTTGAGGATAAGAATTAGGTTATCATCTTTATATTCGATGTAATAATGAGTAGTTGATTTCACGTCGGGCTTTGTAAAACTGGTAATTGAATTCTAATTGTTTATTGTTTTTTCTCTAGAAGGAAAATTGCGCTATTTCCAAATATCGTATTCTTGCAATTCTCTCTTGTTCTTTCCCATTATTTTCTTTTCTTTTTCATCTTATTTATGTAGCATTAACGAACTCTATTTTTTTTTGTTATTTTCTTTTCAATGCATTGTAGCGTTTTATACCTAATCTTTTCGACGATTGATTTTAGTTAAAAATTTAAGCGTTTCAAAATTATATTTTCCAATTTATAATCATTCCCCTTCGTTATCATCTCAGCTGTTTACTATTTATTGTTTACTATTTATTGTTTATTATTTATTATTATCAATCAATGCGCTTAACAGAATGAAAGTTTTGTTTCATTTCTGTTAGAATTCTTTTATCTTTTAATAATATTATCAGTGGGAATAATTTGCAGTTTGCAACTTATCACTTCATCCCTCTTATATTCCATTTATCATTGATCATTCTCATTTACTCTAATATTTTCCTTTTTAATTAATACTATCTCATTTATATATCTGTTAAACATATTATTTCATCAATAATAATTCATTTGCTTCCAAAGTTATCACTGGAAGATTTTTATCAGTAAATTGTTACATTTTTCTTAAGCTATCAACAGTTCCTGCAATGATGTTGAAGATGCTACGTTTTGATAATAGCTGTAGAAATGGTAACAATAAGGAATGAAAAGATCGAAATATAATCATCGATCGATAGATAGAATGGGTATTGGAAAAAGGTGATTCCAATAATATGGCATGTTAAAAGGTATTAATAACACTAATCAGTCAAGCATTGACTTTCCTATCATTTTCCATAATATGTAGTAAACTAATCAGACCAATTTATTGTACTTTACTGAGAGAAGGAAGCTTCCAGAGAAATAAAATTAATGAAATATTACTAATAAATCTGCAAAAGTGTTGAGCTTAATTCATAGGAGGGATGGGTCGTTTCATAGCGACTCGCTTCTTTGAAGGTGCTGTTGAAACCAGTCTCGATGTTGGCGGCATTGTTTGGAGGAGAAGGTGTAGGATTATGCTTTCGGGTGGAAGGGACTTTCTTTGTTCGTCTTTGGTTTTTGCGTGGAATGTTTATCAAAAATGGAAAATTAATGAACACATATACTTGCTATCGATTTTAAGATTGTGGACATTAGCACTTAACGTGAGCGTGAGTGTGTTCGTCTTTACCACTGCTTGACACCTCTCATAATGGGTGACATTAAAAAAATTATCATAAACAAGGAAACATTCTTAAAGCGAACAGCAAAACTATATGATTATTGGGTAAGTTCTGAGTGAACTGTTTATGGGAACTTCAATTTATAAGATTGTTTGAATTTACAACTTTTTTAATATTGGACTGCTACAATGTTAAAGATTTTATTTTAAAATTGCGATCAGATGACTGGCTTGAATTGCTTGCGATTTAGATGATCGTTTTCATATATGAAACGATTTGTATCATACGAATAATCATCTGAATAAATTAGAGGAATTTCGCTATTGGGGTATAGTCATGTGTGGGAAAGAGAAGGGGTTTTTCCAAGACAGTTATTCGAAAATACTAAGCTTAATATTTAAATTTGCAGAATAATGGAAACAATGAAGACTTATCTAAAACAGATGCATTGGTATTTATGGTTGGTAACGATGATGATGCATCTCAATACTCAAAATCGAATGCATTGCAAGTAGGTATAATGACGCAATAAACATTTAGTGGCAATTGTTATTCTTAGTGCGCTAGTGTGAATCTACTAGGTTTGAAGTAATAACAATATTACAGATCTGGCTTTACAATTATGAACTAAATGACATGTTGGCGATATTCACGAAGAACGGCATTTACTTTTTAGCAAGTTCACGTAAAGCTCTTTTTTTTCAACCAGTTGTAAACGAAGAAATCAATGGTTCTGTGCCACCAGTTATTGTACTTCCACGTGAAAAGGTAAAAGTATATAAACAGAGTGAGAAGTGACCATTTGTGATTTCATTCCTTGTTGTTCCCTCTTTCTCTATTCTTGGAAGAGAAATTAGAAGACAGAAAGGAAAGAATGCTCTCAAACATAGAAAGAGTATGAATAGTGAAAAGGATGAACTACTGCATCATCCTTTTTATAATTCATGCTCAGTTCTTTGCGTTTCTTCAACTCCTTCATTTTCCTGTTTGGTAATTCCCAACATTTGTGTTGTTATGAATGCAATTTTCTATTAGAAATATTTTATATTTAGAAAAAAGATGGGCGTTTGTTTTAGTCCGATAAAGACAGAGCAAATTTTACGAAGTTGGCTGAAAAACTAAAGGAAAGCGGATCTTCTTTTGGATACTTTGCGAAAGATTCGTATAATTCAGACTTCGCTAAAGGATGGAGCAGCGTTATGGAGGAATGTGGTATCAAACTGGTAACTGAATTAGTGCTTTCCTGCTGAAACCTCTTTTTTTCTAAGCTGCTAATTTTTTTCTTTATCCAGTACTGGACCATACAGTTTTTATTCCAGAAGTCAGTGTGAATTTCAGACTGTTGACGTATCCGCTTCTTTCGCACAATTACTGTCAGAGAAAGATGAAATTGAGGTTGAACTATGTAGAAAAGCTGCGCAAGCATCGGTTAACGCATGGTCTTATGCCAGAAAGAAAATTATCGATATCATTGACCAGGCGAAGGTATTTTTGGTTTTTTTTAATATCAAGAATGAAATTCATAGCTTCAAGAGTAGAACAGTTTCATAGCGTTTACTTAAGCATCATTAATCGTGTCGGATTTAAATAATTAGTATAATTTCATAGAAAGTGAAACATAGTCGCTTTGCGGAAGATCTAGAAAGAGCGATGACAACAGTGCAAGTGCAACAACGTCTTGCAGACAATAACAATCTTGAGTCATGTTATACACCTATTATTCAATCCGGTGGCGAATATACACTGAAATTGAGTGCCGAAAGGTAATTTTCCTTGCACCTTCTAGTATATATCTTTTTGAAATATTTAAAAAATATATTGATGAAATAATCAATTAAAAAAAAATGCATTTTAGCAGCGATAAGCTTATGCATTATGGAACAATTATTTGCTCACTTGGAGCTCGATATCAGGTAATTGAGCGTTTGATCATATTCAGCTGCATCTTTTGACAACGACCTTGGTTGGTTTAGATCCAAAATCTAAGTCACAACTTTTTTAAATAATGTGTAATGTCTGCAGTAAATTTAATAGCATTATCATTGTCCACTGAGGATGTCAAAACGTTGCTTATCGTTTTGATGGGTAATCATAAAGCATAGGCAATTAGTCCCATACTTTCAATGTACGCAATTCTTTGCTACTGTCACATTAGCATTAAAAAGAAAAAGCTATTATAGAGAAATGCAGTCTTGCAGCTAATTAAGTATCAATATTATGGTAGATAATTATATCAATCGTTACAATCTGCAAAATTTTGAAACATCCCAGGAATATAGAGAACAAAATTCTGTCAGTAAAGTTTCTGCTTTTAGTCCTACTGCTCAAATTTGAGTCGAACAATGCTTGTGGACCCATCGAAGGAACTGCAAGAAGCTTACGAATCGTTGTTGGTTATTCAAAATGCGATCATTGAAGCCTTGAAACCTGGAAAGAAATTGAATGAGGTGTATGCAGCCGGCCTAGAAGCCGCCAAAGACAAACCAATGATACTGGATCATTTGGTCAAAAATAATTTTGGGTAATAAGTACATTCCATTATTTAGAAAGATGAATTAGTTTATAAATACTTTTTTCAATTTGTGATCTATAGATTTCAGTCCCAATAATTGACTGAAGAACAAAAAATATTTTATTGGTCATTTAGTTGTCTGAGTTGAACATGTTTCTTACTCCACTCATTGACTCCGATTATGTCTATTATCTGTAGAATTTATGTGAAAATTTCTGGAGAAACTAAAGTAATGTGCCGAATCTTCCAAAATCCGGGAAACTCGGAACTAAGCTAGGATGTAAAGGAATTTTTCGTCTTTTTCACGGCATTTGTAGTTTCTTGACGGGACTTGAATTTCGTGAGTCAACGGCTCTTATAAGTCCCAGAAGTGATGTGGAAGTGATACCGAATATGGTGTTCGTTGTTTATGTGGGTTTACAAGGTCTGAAAAATTTGGCGGCCAAGGATGAACAGTCAAAGACATCGGCCGTGTTGCTGTCCGACACTATTCTAATTTCTTCAGTAAGTTAATTTTATATCAGAGATTGTGAAGATATTGCTTAAACTTTGTTACTTAAAAAAGAATTAGCTTAAATGTTGAAGTAAATGGTTTGTTCGTAAAAACATTGTTGTGTTCTAGGAAGGTGTTAACGAAGTACTTACGGAAAAGGCAAAATCGCGTATAAAATCAAATGTAATCCGATTTAAAGATGAAGCGGAAACTTCGCATGCCGATGACAATAAAGTTAGTTAACTAAGTCAATGAAAAATAAATCTTTTGCTTATTACAAGAAATAATTTCCAGACACATTATTTGGGCGATAGGTGTTAGAATGTAAAATATTATTACCATTAACACACGCTGATACATACATCTCTATATTCCCATCTCTTCGAAAGATAGGATTAAATACTTTTCAAAGATCGATCTTTATGTACGGTAAATTTTTGATTTTTTTAATTGTAGGAAAATAACTTGGGTGAGGGACTTGGGCGTGGAAAGCGATCAGTATTATTGCAGGAACAAACACGAGTAAGTTTTTCAGGATATTTTAAATCAATGAAAACCTTTTTTTTAAATAAAATATATTAATTAAACCATATCTTCATTATTAAGCATGAGACATTTCTCGAATCATACGGGCATTACGACTGGGAAATCACTGTGATACGATAGAATATATGGGTTGATTTTATATTCAGAACAAAACAACAAATGAAGATAAACGTAAGGAGCATCAAAAAGAGTTGGGGAAACGATTGAACGAGGCAGCTCGTGATCGTTTGGCTGAGCAAACGGGTCAGAAAGATATCAAGAAAATCAAGAAATCAAATATTTCCTACAGAAGCTATGAAAAATTCCCCAAGGAAGTAGAAGTTGATAAACTTCAAATATATGTTGGTGAGTTAGCTAGGAAGTTTATTCATTTTGGCTCTAAGGCAATCTCCATTTGGTTCTGATTGACCAACGAAAAGTTCATTTTGTTTTAGAAGTGTCATTTATAATCAGCGAAGAATGCCGTGATTCGGATTTCCAAATTAAACTTTTTATTTTTTTGCATTGTAATGTTTAATGTCGAAGATTTTTCCATTCAAAGAAAAATAGTTAAGTCCGCGAAGAACCGTCATCAGGGTTTACATAAAAGGGGGAATGAAGTGGAGAAGTTTGGATCTTCAAAGCTTGAAGTGACGAAGTTTGTCAAAAATAAGTACATGAAAAAGTTTCATTATTTTTAAATAATTTTAAATGGTAGAGTTGTTTTTGCGATTAATCCTTGGCTAGTCGCTTGATTTTCAGATCGTCGTCATGATTCTGTTATATTACCAATATTTGGAGTACCCGTACCATTTCACATTTCGATGATCAAAAATACTAGTCAATCTGTAGAGGGTGATTATACTTATTTGCGAGTAAACTTCATGCACCCTGGCTCACAGATTGGGAGAGATCAGTTACAGTTTCCAAATCCGCTGTCAACTTATGTGAAAGAATTGTAAGCTTTTTTAAGCTTTTTCGGCTGCTTTATAATCAGCTCCAAAGTTGTGACTCAGTAAGGAAGGGAAAATTAATTATTTAATAATTTATTTGTAGTAAGCGTACTGTTTCACTCCGTTTTATTCTACTGATTGTTTGCAGAACTTATCGAAGTAGCAATTTGAAGGGACATGGAGAAGTAACTGCTCCTAGCAGTAATTTAAGTACTGCATATCGTTTGATCAAAGAAATGCAGAAAAAATTCAGGACACAGGTAAAATTCTTGTTAATGGATTTAGATATGCTTTTCACAGCTAATTTTATAAAAAAGTAAATTTTGCTTGAAATTGTGGAGCAAAAGTCCAATATAAAAATCTCAGGAAGCCGAAGAACGCGAGAAAGAAGGAGCTGTGAAACAAGATAAACTGATCTTATCAACAGCAAAAGGCAATCCAAAGCTGAAGGATCTTTTTGTTAGACCAAATATCATCACCAAACGAATTAGTGGTTCGTTGGAGGCCCATGCTAATGGCAAGTTATTATCTAGAAAATATCGTATAAAAAGTTTGAGAGGCTTCTGTAAGTTTTATGATCTCACTTTTTTCTGATTACTTCAATTTGAAATTTGTACTTTTGCGATTTCAGGTTTCCGATACACCTCATTGCGTGGTGACAAAATCGATGTGCTATATAACAACATAAAACATGCATTTTTCCAGCCTTGCGATAACGAAATGATTATATTGATACATTTCACACTGAAAGTAAGTTACGAAGAATTATTTCTCCGTTTCTGATACAACTACCTAAGCACAGAACATGTGACTGAAGGACTAAGTGGACAAGACTTATAACTGCATTGAGATTCTTATTCTTGCAAATTTGATGGATAAAGTCTATAAAGTCTAAAAAGGATATGTCCATAGTCATCTTTGCTATTAACTACTATTTATTGTTGAATGATATAGTTTGGGACGACAAGCATTTGGCTTTTATTATAGTTGCAAATATTTCAAGATTTCATAACAACGATAAGTGGTGGAGCGCTGAAGAGAAGAATTGGTAGTAAAATGTAGAATCCAAAGTTCAGGAAAAGCATTATTTATGAATGCTATAACTTGTATTTGCAGAATCCGGTTTTATGGGGCAAGCGTAAATACCAAGATATCCAGTTTTACACGGAAGTTGGTGAAATCACTACCGATTTGGGCAAATATCATCATATGCAGGATCGTGACGATGTTCAGAGTGAACAACTTGAACGGGAAATGAGGAAGCGTCTGAATCAAGTTTTCCAAAACTTCTGTGATAAGGTAAACAGGAACATTTTGTAGTTGCAATGCTGTAAAAAGATATAATTGAAGAAACATAGATTGTAAACGTATTTATTTTTAGATTAAGTGAGATTGGGCTCTTTAATGGTTTTTAGTTTTTCATAATCACACGAAAGCTACGATTTTGCTTGTATTCTCAAGCGAAAACAATTATTTTTGTGTCAGCAGATTTCAATTTATTCTAATTTTCCATTCTTTTAATTTTCCGTCCATGTTTATAAATTCATTCCAATGTTTTAATTTTCCATACAGGTTGTTCGTCAGACAAACGAAGCATTTGATTTTGATGTACCGTTTAATGAACTTGGGTTTTTCGGCGTTCCTTATCGATCATCTTGCACTCTGAAACCAACTTCATCATGTCTGGTCAATTTGAGTGAATGGGTTCGTTACTTTATTCGAAATTGGAAGTGCAGGTGCAGGTATAGAAATTAATATACGGTATCCCATAAATAATGAAGATGGAGTTTTCAACAGATCCTGCAGTTATACCCTTACAATCTCTATGGAGGTTATATGCACTTCCTTATATAGTTGGCAAGTGATATCATATCCAATTAGAATATATTTACGCTTCATTAATTTCTCGACTTATAAAATTACTAAATCAGTAGAAGAATAATTAAAACAACCATTTATAGCCTCCATTCGTTGTAACTTTGGACGAAGTGGAATTCGTACACTTTGAACGAGTGTCATTCCAACTGAAGAATTTCGACATGGTTTTCATTTTCAAAGATTATTCCAAAAAGACGCAAATGGTTCAACAGATTCCAATGACGTCGCTTGACAGCGTCAAGGAATGGCTCAAGTTAGTAGTGCTGAGCCATTTTGTACTTGAAAATAAGAAAAACAACATGTTAAGCGAACTGCTTTGTATTAGTTTCAATTTTTTTTTCCCTTAAAAAATGTTAACAGAAATATTGTGTGCATGATTTCGCTCCAAGTTCTGAAGAACTTCATTGGATCTTCCATCTAGTTTGTTCTATTCGTTTAATATCCATTTTCTATAGGTATTACCTACATCAACAGTGTACCGTACCATTCATTTGTTTTCTGCGCTTCGGCATTTCTTGATTTGCTCATTACATCAATTGGTATGTTTCATTATGGGTTTTAGCTCCTGCGATATATATTATTCCGAAGGAATTCAGTCGTTGAACTGGGTGAAAATTATGAAAACCATCTTGGACGATCCGGAAGATTTTTTTGCAAATGGTGGATGGAATTTTTTGGCAACAGATAGCGATGTAACTATTTATTTTTGCTGCACCTCTTACTATTTAGAGAAAATTTGAAAACTTTTTTCTTTTAGAATGAAGATGAAGAGGAGGATGAAGAAAGTGAAGATGCGTATACACCAAGTGAAGATGAAACTGGTATTTTTTTGTACAACTTTATTGACTTTTTAACTTAAAACTTTGCTTCTAAAGATTTCTGAGAAGTAAAACTTTTACTTTAGAAGGTTCTGATGAAGATGAAGACGAAGAAGAATCACCGGAAGCAACATCTGAATCCGGTTAGTTATTTAAAGCTATTCAAAAAAGAAAACGAAGTTACCTGGTGATATATTATTCTCCTTCAGAATCCGAAACGACTGTGGATTCTGACGAAAGTGAAGGCAAGGATTGGAGCGATTTGGAAGCAGAAGCTCAACGAGGTAGATTGAGTCATCTTATTTAATATTACATTTATTTCGATTATTCCGCTGCCACTTTGCCCTCGGGAAATTTTTTGAACCATCCCATTGAAACCATCCCATGGTGAATGGTTTATCGGAGCTCAAATTCCTTCTAATTTTCCTTTCTAGCTGATCGAGCACGCGATCGTGGCGAAGAGGAACGTGTCCATAAGTCATCTCAGAAACGCAAACCTGCGTCAAAAGGCCGCGGACCGAGCCCGAAACGTCGGAAATGAAGGCCTATCAATGTATTCATTGCCAGTAATTGTTATACCGTTTTTATGTAAATTTGTTAGCAATGAGAAAAGAAGCAGGAATGAATCACTTCATGATTCTAAAGATTTACTGAAAATCATGCGCCCCTCCTTGATTGGCTAGAACTCTTTCAACATCTATCTAATCTTTCCGAAATCACTTTCAGTGTTTTTTCGAATTCCGAGCTTTAGATTTTATTTCAGAATATTGGCTCAGATCGCTATTCTGTCCCCATTATGCCTGTATTTGTTTTTTTTTCGATTTGTTCATGTTCATATGCTATTTTTATAGCTCACAGATACTTGCAGGAAACTTGGGACCAAATTTTGAATTATTTTAGCCTCCTTTACGTTTGGTACGAGCTACCTCAATAGTTCTAGTGGAAATCAAATAAAAATCTATTAAGAGCAAGCAGATACTAAATTTCTTATTTGTTCCCTTTCTTTGTAACCGAAATCCCCAAAGAAATGGAACTTTCATTATTTCGTTTTTGTTGAAGCCTTTTATACTTATTTCATGCCGGTTTGAAATTTGCTCCGAATAGATTTCAAGAGGGTTCATGTTGTGGATAAAACACGTACTTCCTCCTTCATTTTTCCATCATACGAGTGATAAATTAAATAAAAACTATTGATTATTAACTTCTTTGCACTTTGTGGAAGTGGAATTGTCAAAAGCACGAATAAGTTAACTATAAAGAATTACATAAACTGCTATAACACTCTCGGAAATAAAGGACTACCTGTCATAGTATGACATGACCAACAAAAGGTAAACGTAATGCATGGAAGACGAAATACTGTTAAATTCTAATTTCAAACGGTATTCTCAATCACACAAGGGATCGGAAAACAAAACTTGGAGATGTTATATGCAACTGAAGATGTTGAAGATGTTATGTGCAATTGGTGAATGGCGGTGCTTCTCTCCTATCTTTAGGGACCTAAAATTACCTATTTTTCCCCGTAGTGGTTGTGCAAACAGTTTGGTACACGAAAAAGAAGCGTGTAACGTGGAATATGAAAGGAAATACAAGGAATTAGAATTAGGATTGTAAGTACAAAGCAGAGATAGAAAGATGTTCATTTAATTTTCTAATCACTAATAACTAATAATAATCCTGATAGATTGTTTACATATCAGTGCTCTAACGTGAGATTCATGGGACGCATTGCGTATTACCGAGAAACATCGGTGGATCAAGAAGTAGGGATTCATTGACGGTCGTTAAGAAGAGCTTAAGCCTGTAAGCATCCACACCATTCAAATAGTAACGAAACAATCGTTTCTCCCGAATGAACCCTAAATTACTATACAGGCGTAGAGCATCAGAATTAGTCACTTCGGTTTCCAACACAACCTGAAATTTCACGGCAGTTCATATATTGCTCAAAAAAAGTGAAACTAGCAAGAACTGAAGAGGTCTTGTTACATCAGCTGAATGGAAAACAGGAGTTGAAAGTACTTTTTCTAATTAAATATTAATGGAAATAAAGACAAGTAGACAAATGTAAATATTCACTTGATCGCATCCCATTTCTTGCATGTTTGATATAGCTTTCTGCACCAAACGAGTGCCTGAAAATGGAAGATACTCACAAGATTCGATTAATGGAATAGTTTTAAGAAGAAACAGAACCGAATTTATTTTCACTAACCTATGCCCATTTTCCGACATGACTCGTCGACTGCAAGCATTGCTATATATCCACGACGGCGATTTTCTCGACTCAAATCCAGTTTGCAGACAATCGCACCAACATATTTGTTATCGTTTTGATCCAGTGCCTAAACTGTTTCAATAAAATTCGTGCTAAAATGACTCAGAGATTTCATTCAATTTTTTAGAAAGAAATAGGGAAAAGAGCCTAAAAATGCACGTTACATCCTTCATATTATATTGAACTAATGCAAACAACGAATCACACAAACTGCGAAGTTAAAGGCAAATTTGTGCAGAAGACTTACCAGCAAGCACAATTTTGGCCAGTTATGTATGAAATAACGATAAGTATAGATGGAATAAGGCTCGCTAAGTACTTTCGTGATAAGTCGCATAATGTCAACCATTTGATGCTCATTTTCGTATTCAACTATATGAATACGTTTTATTTTTATACTAGATACTATTGTTTGACTTTCTGCTTCCGCAACTGAACCATTTGGTATACGTTCTTCCATTGTACATTGGGTGACTTGAGAACTGTTCGCCTCATCAACCTGCTTCGTAATGATCTGGGAATTTTGGTACACAAAGATAGCAGATAACAAATAATACGTTCAAGATATAGTCGCAGAATTGGAATGTATTATTATGAATATGCTTCAAATTTATTAACAAAGACCCACATATACAGAAAAAATAGAAGATGCATTAAAATATGTAATCAAATTTCACAAGTTATTCGGTAAATAATCGAAGTCGTAACTCACCCCTTCCATCTCAGCTTGCTCTTTCTCCATTTTTTCAGTTCCTCCGATACATTTACCAGAAGTAGTTTCATTTGATAAAATTAAGCAGCGTTTCAGTATTAAGATGGCTTCATCCAATATTTCCACGGAATTATTGTTACTATTAGAATGAGGGCATACTCCGACCCCCTTCTCCATATCATAACGTGAAAATTACCGTCAAAAAACCTGAAAATTAAATGACACATCGAATTGGATATTGTCTGCAAATGAATGAAGCAAATCTCCTTCAGCACTCACACAAGGGAAGTGTTAAGCGCAAAACCGAGATGAAGTTCAGGTGTAAAATTAAAAAAACAGATCATAAACCAGTTTCTCAATCCTAAGTATTAGTTGCCAAACTGTCCCAGGCAGTGAAACGAATTCGAAGGTTTTGTGAATTTGCTGAAGAAAAATGCCAACCTTTAAAATTGGATTTAAACAATCACTACTGTCAAATATAGACAGCATTGATGCAATGATGGCTCACGACAACTAGTAACTGCAAAGTAGGAAGGATAAATAATGATTCCATATTACCTCCGAATAATATTTATGCCCAAAATCGATTCTTCCACCAATAACTCCAAGCTATTTTACAGAATACATGAAGTTAATAAACTTTTTTGGAACTTGATAGGATTTTAGCTTACTACAATTACACGTTATTTATTCGTTACATATTCGTTACATTTCGGGAGATTCCGGAAGATATCCGTTACATTTCGGGAGATTTTAAGATTTGTGAAAGTGACTAATAACGATGATCACCCTTACAACTCCTAAAATTGCTTATTTTAACACTGGATAAAGTCCTCATTTCAACATGGCAAAAAGTAATCAAAGCAAAATTGAAACATGAAACAAATTGATCACTTTATAGGTTACACCTTGAGTACAACATAACATCGGTGCATAACCGATTTCCATTTTTATAAGAAACAACAATGTTTTTAGATTTTCTTTATTTCACTTCAATTAATATTTTATAAATTTTATGCAACACATCTAAACTAGCAAAATTATTATGGATTACAAGTATGGAAGCAAGGTACCAAAAGTTTGAGGGATATTAGAACTGTAGAGATTCCAAATTTTTTCAATAAACTTCGAATTGGTAAAAATTAAAGTTAACTAAAAACTATGGGCTATACCTGCCAAAGATTGACTACTCATCCTGCTGTTTTCGTTTGGAACTATTTAAGGTACCCAGAAAATAGAAAAATATCATCAACATAAATAATCCAAGTAGAGAATTTTTTGATTGTTGACTGAGCCAGTCTGCAATATTATTGACTATACCTTCCATACCTTCCACCGCCTCATTCTTTTCTCTTTCCGTCTCTTTTTTAGGAGTGTGCGCTTGTTCGAGTATCAAAGGTTCTCTAAAATCATATAGAGAATCTTTAAAAAGAAACCAACGAAATTTTAGACGTTTCTATCCGATTATGTATTATCATCATGGATTTGGTTTTACGAAGCAAATATAACAAGAAAATGCATCTGTAGTCATTGCTTTTGGTAACTAAATCTTGCTTGTCTAAAATAATATTTAGTGACATTTGGTGGGACAGCTTGCTCTGAACTGAAGGATGCTTTATCCTCTATTCACTTATCAATAACATAAAGAAGAACTTTGACATCGATCGGAAATATTCATTAGTAACTGCATCCAGCATTAGCTGTTCGACGGGTGGTTTGTCTGAATCACAAGTTTGACCGGATACAACCTTACCTAAAAAAGGATACTAAAATAATGAGAAAACCGAAATACATGTCTAGAAAACGAAAAACTAGCCAATTAGTCTTGTCATCGTATGTTTTTCATCTTTCATTTTATCACGAAGAAAGTCCAGAATAAGAAGCATTTTTGGTTGCTGTGCATTTGACCACTTCTCGACATTTGCTTCACGGCGCCATGTTAAAGTACACTTCGCTGAACCGTGAGCATCAATATGACCTTTTGAGCTTGGCAGTGCCTAAAAATGTAAGAATGAACTTATTGATGAAAACAATTTAAAATCATTTGCAAATTTTACATGAGTTCGGTCCTCCTTACATGTCATATTTTAGATAAAACACTGAATGAGGATCAGTGCCAAGATCAATGTACTTGAAAATACTTAGATTATGGATGTCTTTTCATTTTCTGCACAAATAATTAGTACAGAGATATTTACGCCCGGTTCACTTTTCAGTTTAAACTGTAATGGCCGTTCACTAATGTTACTGAGCAGCAGTTGTACACGCGCAACATCCGGTAACTCGTTTGTTGGAGCAAAATGTAACAATGTCGCCCTAAAACAAGTGAAAAAAAGTTTGTTCTAACTCATAGCTTTTTGAAATATTTTTTCTGAAATTTAGTTACCCCTCTATATTCTTTTTATAATTCTCAATCGTGAATCTGTAAAAAGACGAAGACTTACTTTCGGCGTCTAGGACTTCCAGTTCGTATACTTTTCTCCTGTACAACTTTCTCCTCTACTTTCTGAATCAGTTTGTAATCTCTCCCTGGAAATCTTTTCGAAATTTGCTTAACATTCCTCGATAAATTCCGGTTACGCTGATTTTCAACTGCTGAAGAAATGGTAGCACTCAAGTTGTCATTTTTGGATTGTTGAGTTGCACCAGGTATGGACCCTTTCGTTGATGTGGAGATCTTGCCAGAATCTCCTTTTCCTACTTTGCCTTCCTGTGCATCTTGATCATTCCTTCAAAAAAGTTAATATCTTAACTCACGTTTTACTTTTATTAGTCCCGTACTAACCCTTCATGATCAGAAATGCTAACATCTGTACTAAGAATTTGAATCCCGTTATGACCTCAATAAGCTAGCATCAATGTATTAAAGCAAAACAAATTTGCTTTGGACATTTGACAGGCATTAATATTAAATATACTTCTTAAATTTCTAAAGTCATAGTCGTAACATAGTTGTGAGTGGTAGCGCGACTCAGACTATAATCCGTTCATCTGGTAATGATAAAAGAAATAGCTTCAATCTCGCCAGAATACGTTCTTCTCACCAGAACACTTTTTTAATCTCGGTAAAATACCTTTTCCTTATAAGACAACGCACCCTCCCGGAAAAAAAACAGCTTCAAGTGCAAACCTACGAATATCCGACATGATTATAATCAAGCGACCGTCTGATGCAATCAGAAAAAGACAAATGCTATAAGAAAGCAACTGCGCTAACATTTTGAAAACAAATTTTTCCCTAGCAACCCACCCGCCAATCAGAAAAGAAACTTTAGCATCTTCCAACTAAGCATTCCCACTATATTCTTTTCCAGATTTCGAAATTGTTATGTATCAACAGAAGTACATAGTAATCCACGCCAGCTGATGTATTCAGCGATAAATCCACTATCTTAAAATAAAACCCACTACACTGCACTTTTCTTTCAACTTTTATATTGATTGCATTCATCTTCAACAGGAAAAAAACATTGCACTTAATCATCATGGAAACATTGCATTAAATACGGAAACCGTCAGCATCTGCCGGAAACATCTACCGGAAACCGACAAAATAATTCGAAAAATGCAATCGAGAATATTGGCTAAAATCATTCATTTCCATAACACACGCAAAGTAATAAAACTTAAGATGAGAACACAAAAACAAACAATTCAGACATTGAGAAAATGAAAACAAGTCTATAGATTTTCGGGCATCTTAGTAAGGGCATTAAGTCCTTCAGGTGAAGTGGTAATGGATAACGTTACAATAACAAAAAGAAACCGTAATTTTTTTTCAATATCCCATCGTCCTGAAGTATTAGAATTATGATTTCTTGAGAAAATTTCAGAATACAATACCGAAAATCCGAATTTTAAAAACAGAAATAAAGGAATGAACTCTAAGTGTGAACGACACATTCCTTTTAATATTTTAACAAAATCGCAACTTGTAAAAAAGTTTAAAACAGTCACTGTAAAAGTGAAAAGTTCAAAGCAACTGGATCAGTGCATCGTATATGTATTTTCCTCTTCTACGTCACACACATCACCATGAAATTTGACAGAGATTTTGAAATCTAAATCTCTTTCATTCCGAGCGTTCGGTGCTATTGAAAATGTTCCTGCAATTTCTTCATTCTTCTTACAGGTTAACGCATCCTGAAAATTACAGTAAATCAGCACAGCTTGCCACCACGAATCAAAAATATATTATAGCTTCCTCAACAGCAGTGATTATAGATACATACTAAAAAACTGAAATCAAAGTGAGATCAGTAGTGAGATTAACTGTGTAAAGCAAGGTGGAAAATGTTCATATTTTAAATATAACCAACCTGCAGATAAAAAACTGTTTGTTTCCAGTGCGTGTATTGACAATCAGGCCCGGTAGAAAAACCAGTCCGTTTATGGCATTTGGAAAATTCAACTGTGAAGAATGTAACCAGTGCTTGCACATAATCATTTCTTGTTATTCGCAAGGAGAAATTATTTGTCCATGTCAGATCTTCCACTTTGACAGTGTACAAATCGACATCCTAAAAAACTTTCAGATTATGTAACACTACTGCCAAATTTTCACACATGGATATAAAGCTGAATTTTATGTAATCGAGAAATCATCACCAAGGTGACTAGTATGAGGCAGATATGTAGTGCAACCACGACTACAGTGTTATTTCAGAGAAAACTCCGGATGACTAACACAAAATTCTTTCCCTACACTCCTTATTACCTTATTGTGGCAATTATTACATCATTGATGAGCTTCTGCTGCACAGAAATAACTTTTTTATATTGCTACTACTCTACCGAAGATTTCCTCTTATAAAACATGGATGAAAACTTCAGAATGAAAAAACTTCCGGAGTTTTCAGAGTCACTAAAAAAATCAGAACACATACAAAAAATCTTGAGTTGAAGCTACAATGCACAAGAAAAGTAACTGCTGCACAGACAAAGGATGAAAGGACTTACGCAAATCAAGCAGTTGTTGGTAACAACTTGCGCGTGATCAACGACATCAACTAATGGTTCCGTGATAGCTACACGACGAATACTGGACATATTAAAGCCATAAACATTATCCCACCTAAAAAAACGATCCATTTTAATGTTTATTTAGATAACAAGCTAAACGTAGCTGCGATCCTACATGAATCACTCCTACATGCAATTATTAAGCGCAATAAGCTACTGAATGCTTACGTACCAATTGATTTTATCCTCCTTATATTGCCGATCCTCAATGGCACATAAGAAGAGTTTCGCTTTGTCTGGAAACAGAGCACCATCCGATTTCAACCATTTATCACGGGCATAAATCACTGTATTCAACATTGATTCATAAAACAAACAGTAACCCATCCATTCAGATATAATAACATCAACCTGTCATAATAAGTAAATAACGGTACCGCAGAAAATGTGCACTTACATTCTTCACAGCAATTTTTCAGCGACTTTCTTATCTGATGTGCGCAATGTGTATGTTGTTGCACCATCAAAGATCTATCATACATAAAATTCTAAAAGGAGCGAAAAAACTTTAAAAATCTTTACATTCGAATAAACAGAACCTTTTCAATACCGTCAGGTAACTCTTTCACATCTTCAACTTTCCCGTGGATAACTTCAATAATATTTTCCAAATTATTATCTTTTACAATCTGTTTGGATTGTGTGGCCATATTCGAGAATTCAATCTACAAAGTAATCTACAAAGTATATTCAATCTACAAAGCACTAAAAAATTTAATTATTTAATCGGCAAGCTTACTCAAAGTTTCCATAATTTTCAACTGCTTCACTGCAGTTTTCTTCAAGAAATGAAAAAGAAAGCAATTCCATGTTTTATATTAATTACTGAAGATTAAGAAGCACAGCTATGACCTTTCAAAGAACTATTACATTATTACATTAGAATCATTCTACAGGATATACTTAGAACCTTACGGTAACAAACAAAAATGCCTTAATAACCGAAGAAGCTTACCGCAATAACTTTCCTGGCACCAGCTCTCGCCGCAAACATGGACAAGATACCCGTTCCTGAGCCTACATCCACGACGACCTTGTCTTTGAACAAATGTTTATTGTGATAAATGGCATTCCGATATGTGATCGTCCGTACTTCATCTTTCAACATTTCCTGTATATTAAAGAAATTTATGGTTAGCACATTCAATAGTGATTACTATCCAGGCATCTTAATCACAACATTCTCTGTGTTGCAATTTTCCAGACAACATTCGCGCACCAACTCTCTAATACTTAGCTAAAAAAAGTCTCAGAATAGAGATCCATAAACTTTTCCAATCTTTAAATCCAAAACAGCTGAACCACAAACTTCGTGTATCCCAAAGTGGGCGTATGAGTCGAAGTAGTAATCTTTGCTAGTCATTTCATTGTAAGCTGGCCTCTTGTAATCACTACCATCAATGGTACCATTTTGAGTTGTTGCTGCCATCTGAAATTACTTTTGCTAACAAGGAACAGAAAACTATTACAATCGATACTACATCCAAGTCATATATCTTCCCAAAGCCTTGAACTTCTTCTAGTGATGGAAGCAAATAAAAACGAAGAACTCATACGAGGTATCTGTATTTTATTTTCATATAATTACAACCTAGTTATTAGAAAACTTATAGCTTATTTCAACTACCATACGCCTGCACATCATTATTAATAATTATTTTTGAACAAAACACTTTATGCGTTGTTGGGAAAACGTCAATACTCGTAAAACAAATGTACTCATCTATGGATATACTAAGTAATCCACAGATATTATCCGATTACCACTGATCTCAATTAATCCCACGTCAGTTCATATTCACAACCTAATGATAATTTAACCCTATCCACACATTCTTTGTAAAATAGTTTTAAATATTTTGCAATGAATCCCGAAAGATATCATTCAGAAACTTATGAAGTGCTACTCAATGGATGTTAATCAGTATAGCTTCTCCTGCTATTGGCATCCAACATCATCATTTAGTAAATATTAAAGAGAATTGAATGGACGATAAATCAAGAATGGCAGTGAATCCTTCCAATGGATACCCTAAGCTAACTATGGATAACGAAAATTATTCAACATCCACTCCACGCATTTCACCACCCTCCCCATAGCTACTACCTGCCCGTCATTTTGAAAAAAAACGTCTCATAGCGGTATGCAGCTTATCTGCATCGGTATATCACACTGCCTGGTTAATGTGCAATGTTACTATCTTGCATTTGTGTGTGTGTGTGTGTGTGTGTGTGTGCACATGTTTGCTAACATTTATGTTTTGAAAAATGATTAGATTACAGTTCGGGTTTCCGGTACATATTAAATTCGCATCAAAAATTTTTGCAAATTGTTTTTACATCATTTTGCAAAATTTGCGTGCATTAAAATCTTGTTGACCTGATTGCAGACATGAAATTAACTTGTTGGACATAGAAATCGAACTCATTTATTTCATTTTTTTTTTGAGTTTATTTTAAAATTTTCCGAAAGCAAATAAAACCATTACAAAAATATTTTCACCTCAAGAGGAATATTCCATAATAATTCTCTTATTGTCGTGCATTGTTTCTTATTGCATTTCAATTTTTGCTGCAGCACAATCATAAATGCAAACAGTTCATAGAGATAATCCATTTGAATGCGCAAATGCAAACTATGCAAACCGGAAAACGAAAGAATCTCTACAGTGTAACCAGAAGGTTTCATTATGCATTGCGAATTTGCAAATGTTTAAAGTTGACATAGCTTCCTTTCAAATATCATAACGTTTCCATTATTGCATCCTTGTTTACATTTTTGGAAATTCCCAACAAAATTTTCAACATTCAGTGCTTTTGGATGAGAAAGAGAATTTGCATCTTTTCCCGAGAATTCTCGAGAAAAAAGTCACCGAAATTGTATTTTTGTGTTGTGCCCAATGAATCAGAAGTTGAAATCATTTTAGTGTTGGCGAAATGAGTAATTAATATTCATATTACAAATGTCTTTTCCGTAAAACATATATATTCCCGGTTTAAGAACCCAATATATCGCAAAAGAAGATTTCAAGAATAAACTCAATCAATACAATTCGAAAAGTTATTCTTTGTTGTGTATTTATATCATAAGAGGTAGTTATGCTCAAATGAAACATTTTCAAATGAAAATGAAAATTTAAAACTTTAAAACTGATCTCCACAAATTTACAATATTCTTGATCTAAGATAGGAATATA